ACAGCCAAACCTTTATTTTCAATCCTGTGGAATGTTATAAGATTATCTTATTTTCTTTTTGGTAAGTAATTAGACGTTCTGATGTTATGTAGTGATGTCAAAGGAAATCCATTGAGAACTCATTCAAGTACACTTACAAATTCCCATGACTGAATGGTAGGCCACTGCAATTGAGGCTGAGAATGTAAAGAAGAATGAACAAATCATCTATACATTCCCGAAGCATTCTAGGTCAATGAAACGCCTTGTCTGCCTCAACTTCTAAATCCTGGAAAAAACAAATCATCCATTCCGGTTATTTGGATTCCTTCGTTAGTCGGGTGAAAAACTGTACTGGGACAACTAACTTATTTTTTACCCTGTTTTAGTTCTCAGACTAAGCAAAAGTTATCTCAACTTTTGGAAAGACAAGAAAACAGAAAAACAAATGGGATCATCTCAACATGTAAGACGACACACAAAATAAGTACTATTGTGTTTTGTTCACGACCAACACTTTACTAATTCAAAAATTCCTGACAGATACATAACATTGGCTGCCTCAAATTATTTAACTCTTGTTTAATAGAAGGTCATTGTCTAGTATAGTAATAAGATGCACGGGCTAATGATGAAAGACTATATTGTAGGCTCAAATCTGACATCAGCGACTTTCTGCTTGTGTGCAGCCCAACTCCTCTAACACCCTCAAATCTTAGTCACCAAAGCGGATAATGGCATCTTACCCTAATTCCTGAATGAGCTTGTGATTGGGTGAACATAAAAACAATGGAAATATAAACTGAAAATGAACTACACATTAGACCTATCTAGTGACCTATATCGCTTCATTGTTACTATTTATAGTTTGAGCATACCTGCCCTATTTAGTTGCTGCAAAATTAACTACAGAGACATGTAGATATATGCACACATAAACTCGCAACTTTTGAAATCAACTTGAAATGAAATATAGCTCCTCACTATATCAGGGGACCAACATTCCCAATTAAATACTGCATGGCAATCCAAACTATATTTAGATGCCTTGATATAGGGTTTAGCATATGTACTATGGTTTACACATATCTATATCTAATAGAAACATGACTGAAACTAGTAGAGGACTCACAAGATTATGATACCAATTGCGATAGTCAAACACCCTACTATCGCTGGGAGTGACAGGGGCTCATTTTAATATTTTGGAGCTCACTTCAAGGGCCCTATAACTTCACAGACAGAAACCGTTCTAAAGGAAGAACAATGTTGTTTCTTCTTTAAGAAGGTCCTATATTCTTTTGTCTTTTCTAATTTTTTTTGTCCCAATAGGCCTAGTTTGGAACATAGGAACCTAGAGCAAGAATGAGAACCTCATCTTATCGCATTTAATTCCTCTATTTGGTACACATTATTGATAGCAGGATTCATTCCTCTAGGCTCTATGGATAATAGACCTACCAAGAGTTCGGTGACAACTTCATTTTCCTGGCACATAACAATACAAATTAAGCTAAAATTATCATTTATAATAATTCTTGGGAAAAAATACTGCTCTAACGAAACATACCAATGAAATCACATTTGAAATTGTATTGCTGGGAGGCTAATCTGTGATGATAGAATTTCATTCTTGGTCTTTTATTTCTGTCATCCAAACTGAGCCTAAGGTGTATTGAACTCTTAGTTCTTTGTTAGCTGGAATGAGAAATAACCTGAGTTGGAATGATCCCCGAATGGTACCATTCAAGTGTTTGGTTAAATGCATCCCAGAATGCAGATTTCATTCCCATTCCATTGTTTGGTACGCGTGAACGCTCTAGAAATGGAATGAAAAATATAAAAAATTTACCAGAATAGCCTGGATACCCCCCCCCCCAAAAAAAAAAAAAAAAACAAGTTTATGGGAAATTTTGGCCAGAACGTCGCCATTCTGAGGCCATCAAAATATGAAGCACCCATATGTTTTCAAATAGTAATCACACGAAGCTTAAAACCACACAAAATCTAACATGGCATTAACATGAATAATCATCAAATTGAGGTTTCCGTCGCACCCAAAAACTGGAACAAATTCATATGCTTACATATTCATCAATGATCCATCAAAAGATATCCAATTGATGCCTAAAGATTTCATCAGTTATCATCACAATGTTCCAAACAAGCTTCTAAGTAGAAGATTATCAAACAGGGGACAGCCTCTATGGTTCACCTGGTGCTAGCTAGCGGCGATCATCTGCTACGGCTATGAGGGAGGAGAGAGACTGGGGTGACCGTCCGGGGAGGACAAAACGGGTACGGGTTTGGTTTTCATATTGGGCTCAACAAATTATTGTTGTGAATGGCTATTTTGATTCGAATAATGCCTACTCTAACCCAATTTCTTGGCAGATTTTTTATTAGATTCGTGTGTTTTTTTTATTTTTTTTGGTAATTAATTTTTTATAAAGAATTTAATATACACATAATCTTGTCTTAACGGCTCATAATGAGATTTTTTGCAATAAATTATTTATTGTGAATTTAAGTAAGTAAAATTTCTCACGCTCATTAATAATAAATCATGTAACAAAGAATGATCATAGTCAAACTTCCCAATGATTGTTATCAGGGATCCTTTTCGGATGTTAGCGCCTTGTTTGATGATTCTATTCTCATCGGGCAAGCCCTTGGGCCTGGGCTAGCAAGTTTTTATTAGGAAAATTTGTAAGATAAAAAACAGATTTACTGTCAAATAAATTTATTTGACAGACTTAAATCATTATAAATCCATTCAGAAAGACTCAATCCCAATTTTCACTTTTTAATATAAAGAGCGAGAGAGGATCAATGATTGGCCTAATGGTCACCATAATCTGTTGTTAAACCGTAATATCGCAAGTTAGAACCTCACCAGTACTCTCTCCTACAAAAAAAATTGTAAAAAAAATAAAATATAGAGAGCAAGATTGTTGGTTAGCTGATGGCTGGATCGAAATTCGAACACTGTTGGTATAGGTCTAGAGTGTCAAAATATGATATGACCTATTTAACACGATACAAAAATAGAGTTTAAATCTTCATTTTAAGTTACTTGTTTAGTAATGAGTGAACCCAATCCGACTCAATTAATAAATAAATCGGATATAAATTAAAATCAATCAGAAGAAACATACAATATTACTCATTTATATACCAGTTATAAACGATTCATACACGACATGACCCGATATGACACAATTTGTTAGACATGAATTAATAAGCAAATTGATTATGGATAAAATACTTTTTGACACAAACCCGCCTAGGTCTCCAGAGTGTACAGACTAGTATTTTATTGGCTTGTAATTATACTATAACTGCAGCATTAGCAAGCGCTCAGTGTTGATCACAACCTTTCCACCAACCCAAACCCCACCCCCCTTCCCCCCCCCCCCCCCCAAATAAAAAAAAAAAACCCACCCCCAACGAAAAATCCCTTTGATATTTATTTTTGAAATTTGGTGTTGCCACCAAAGCTGTAAAACGCACGATATAATCAGAATCAGATTGAGGCAGTCTTCTTCAAATTCTGTCTTAGGGCATAAAGAGGTAAAGCAAACGCTTTCAATGCTGAATTCTAGAGTGTTCGCATTAAAACCCACGAAAATTGTGTTCAAGTTGATGGTATATGGTGTGAATTCAACGGGTCGTCCCCCCTTCCCGTGGGTTCTCACACAGACCTACGCCTCACCACTAGGTACGAAATTCAATTCATCAACAGCCAAGCAATTTTATAACATGAACTTAACATGTTGACCTTGCTTTTCGTAACTTTTAAGCCTCTTTCTTTATAGTTCACCAAGTGACCTCATAACCCTCAACCTCAAGGTACTTTAAGAGAAACAGCTGATTGTCCTACCACACATCGCTTCAATCACAGTAATTTCTCCGACGGTGGCAGCCTTCCGCTAGCCTGAAGAGAACCCCGAAAAAGATCCTCTTTGCAAACTTCAGCCTCTAAGAGCTACCCAACAAAGTATCACAGTAATCAGAAACCAGACGCCATTTAAACAAACTCTGAAACTTTCGATGTGTCTAGCGCCCCCACCCCCTCTTTCTATCCACAAGAGAGGATTATTTAAGGCACATGCAAAAGATGTAAGCAGTAGCTAATTTATTCAAGCAACAAAGTACCCCAGATTCAGTTGACAATGGCCAGAGGTTCTGTACTTAGATGCTCAGTTCGGAATTCACTGCAGTTCCTTTTCAGGCAGCCGTAAGATGGCAGGCCACCCATACGTGGTAGGGTAGGGTGGTTGGTACCATTCCTAACCATGTGCAGGCCAGGCTAGAGCGCTTGAAACTCATCACTACCTCATAAGGGCGTCAAGTCCATAATATGTTACACAAAACGCCTGTGTTTGTAGTGTTGTCACACAGCTGCCCACCTCAAGTGCAGAAATCTACAGGATCCAGCATACTTGGGCGCCGTACAAAGGATCTTAAGAAGGATGAGATGTCACCTGAAAGGCATCAATAAATTACACTGCAATAATCAAATGCACCACTGGTTCAATTTTCCTGTATATGTTTAGCTTGCCAGCTACAGCACAAAAGTAGCCAATGAAAAATGAGCTTATATATAAGCGCTCACAACTACGTAAATTTGAGTACATCACATCTAAAAGTGCAGTTCGATGCCACAAGAAAATGATGATAAATGGATTAAATGTCATGAAAAACCAAGTAGAGAAAATCAGCAAGAAAAAAATAAAAATTATACAGATTTCTATACCATGGGCACACCTCACTTATATTTACATCGGAAATAAAATTATAACTGCATGAATGCCTCTCAAATCATTTCTTTCTTTTTTTTCTTCATTCTCTGTACTTCTTTGTCCATCATTTGCCTATTCTCAAAAATGTAGCAAAAAGAAAAACATTATGAAATGAAAAGCAAAACAAGTTTTTTTTTTCCTTGGGGGGGGGGGGGGGGGGGGGGTGGCATATTACAGTGAAAAAGGTTAAACGGGAAGATATCTGCTTGACACATATCATGATTGCCAGAATAGATCAAAGTCGTTACTATACAATGAGCGATCTTGAATCTCCAAATTCGCAACATGCCAATTGATGAGCTGGGATTGGATACATTTACAAACCACCAGTGCAACAGGAAAAATCCACCATTCACTTTCATCCCTGCAGCCACACCAATCACAAGAAAAAGGTTAAGGCCATCAGTTAGCAGTTAAGAAATTCCTAAATTCTTGAATAGCTAAACTTTGATAAAGCTTGAAAATTCTTCTCACATGTTCCATGGCTGAAAGTTTGGTAGTTTTCTACTTGGCTGGCCACTGTAGTGAATATACCCGCAAACGAAAGCAACCACCTGATTGGGATTACTGTACTATTCACAAATCAATGCATACAAAGCAAAATAAAATAAACATAATAAAAAAAACAAAGTACCATTTCCACCAATCCTGATCACTCATAAAAAGCCTATTAAACACATCAATTGGATATTAATTTGATTGTGCTAGTTAAAAAAAGCAAATATCCAGTTTGGCTCCCATCCCTGTGGCCGCTGGCAGGGGTGGACTGAGACGGACCAAAAACTTTGGCAATATGGCTGCCTTTAGTTATGAAACCCAACATTCTCCTAATAGATAGCACCAATTAATGACCCCTACATTGCTTAACAAAATATATAGTAGAGAATAAAATAAGTATTCCAGCCATCACCACATGAATTGTAAATTTTTGAAATATTTATTCTTCATATACACAGGTCATAAAACCCTAAAAAGTAAAAACCATAGAATAGTGTCAAAAATCATCAGAGAAACAAAGAAAATAAATTTAGGAAAAGACATCAGGGACATAGAGCTTACAACATTAATCATAGAAGCGATATTCCACAAAGCATAAACACGTGCAAGCCCAGCAGATCGCCTAGGTCCATGACTGAATAGTGCATTGATTCCAGCAGGGAATGGAAGAAAAATACCGAGCGGTAAAACAAACAAAACAGAAAGATGTCCGCCAATGAAATTGAATACAACTGGAGCAGAGTAAGCAAAACTAAGCTAAAATCTCCTAAAAGTAGCATTGAGATGACCAAACCAACAAGATCCTGCAGGAAAAGAGAGCTATGTTCAGGAAGAAAGAATAGCATTTAAGAGAACAGCTAGCAGCTTTCACTAGAAAAGGTGCATCTTTTTATGTCTTTACACTAACACCCACACACACTAAGTGAGAGAGAGTAGCAACCTGATGGACAACAGGTTTAGTGTTATGAATTAGAAAAGAGAGGAGGAAAAATATATCTCTCTTCTCTGCAAGCATTTTTAAGCTGTTAATATCTAAAATCCCACCAGAAACTTTCCGCCTCGTACTTATTTCAGTGCTTCTGTGGTTATGGCCTAAGAGTATCTCTTCTTTCCGATGCCTCAAAGAATTTTCCTTCAAAATGCTGCTAGCACTGCATGAAGAAACAACTAGATGACACAAATAAAATGGGTTTATAGTAAGGGTAGATAAAAACAATGTGCTTGTGTGTGAGTGTGAGTATGAGTTAATACATTTAAGACACACACAAACATATTATATATATATAGATGTACATATATATATCGAGCGAGCGCTCACATGAGAGAGAGAGAGAGAGAGAGAGGCAGAGACAGACAGAGAAAGAGGCAGAGAGAGAGAGAGAGAGAGACCAAAATCAAACCAAAAGATTAAACATGTATATTATAGTGTGCTTATGCACAGAAAGTGATTGCATGAAAATTAGTTAACTAAAAACTACGTGCGATTACATTTTACTTACATTTTTTTCAGTTATTCTTCAGTCTCTAGCATTCTACTCTAATCCCACCTACATGTTAACTGTGTGTCTGTACCTCTTCCTTCTATTTTCGGTAAATAATACAGAAGTGCGTAACGTCAAACGCTGCACCTCTCCAAGTGCGAGTCAAAAAAGATACAAATCAAGCCAACGTTTGGTGGTATATCTTTATACCTGTTGTCTGATTTCTCAATTCTAGAACTTTAGCATCGGATGATTTGTCAATTTGTAGAATTTTAGCATCGGATGATTTGTTAATTTGTACTCATCTATTTTATATCATCATAGACCACATGCTTGACATCATAGTTCACTCTGTATGCCCATGTAACATAATAGGTTATAACAGAAACGTTTTTCCGATTGGCAATTGCCGATGGATGCCTTTGCAACAAGAACACTCTCCTCTGCGCCCAATTGCAAAGAAAGATTTTGTTCCCCGACTGACCAAACAGGAAACATTTTGGGCCTGATAGTGTTCTAGTGATTAAATCCAACATTTAGGGGTGGCAAACGAATCGTATCGTTTAGTGTTCTAGTCATGTCATTTTGGATTTGCGTCGAGTACTAATTAACCTTAATCCGACCCATTTAAGAAACTATGTCAGATATCCCAACACTAACACAACTTGTAAATTAATTGTGCCGTCTTTGGGTTGAATGATAACTTGTGGACAAGAAATTTAAAACTACCACCCTTTTTTCTCTCAACTAAACTTACCACCCATAGTCCCACTGAAAACCACACCACCACTTGATCTTCAGTGCAACAAAATTATGCTGAAAATCCCTTTATGCTACAAGAATTCATACAATACTTGGTGAAGAAATGAAAAAATCAGAAATTTTCATCATACAATCGCATTTAAACAAGTTTGTTGTGTAAAAAATGAGTTATTCGTGTTTGATACTAACCCAAGCCGTTTATCAATCATGTCAACTGGTTCGTGTAGAGAACTTGTCAACTCTAACCCGCAAACTTCGTATTGGGTTTGGACTGTGTTTACGTTTTAGGTAAACATAACCACCCTTACCAATATAAGGACAGGACCAGCACCAAGGTGCCAAAACATAACCTGCTACACGACACCCAACTAGCTGATTAATGACAATCTGCTTCTTTCCATAAGCCACTTATTTCAAACTTAAGATGGGTTGCATATGGGATCCTGTCCTACAGATTCCACTCCTATCTCAACAAGAGTGGCTTGGACTACATTACTCAAATAACCTGTCTTCTTTAGATCCAATCTACAGATCAACAAAGCATGGAACAAAAACATAATGTTTTATTTTTCTTATTATTAAGGATGCTTCAGTGGACACCTATTTACCACATATGCATGTGTGTAAACATAAATCAATTCAAGTTTTCCACCTGTGAGAATACAAATGGACATATAATTACCGTGAATGTAGCTCACTTTGAGTCATTCCATCAGTATTTTCGAACGATATACCCTCAATTTCTTCTTCAACAGCATATAACAAGAGTCCATATTAACAACAACCACCAGCTGTAGCTTGAAACCAGGGTAGATCAACATGCACTCCATAGATCCTCAAAGCAGGATTGGCAAACCAGTAATGGAGACCATGGGATTTATACAAGATAATTCCCTCTCCCACTTAGTTATTAAATAGTTGTGAGGATTTGAAATTTTATTTATCATCCATACTACACATAAAGATGGGGTAAGCCATATATCTTTATAATGGAAAATATCCTTATTTTAAGCTAATACAAATTAAATATGATTTTGAAAACCCTCACTAAATATTAAATAACTAAGTGGGAGAGGGAGTTTATCTTGTATAAATCTCATGGTCTCCATTATTGGTTTGTAGGTGATGTAATTAATTTTGCGTGTTGGCCTTAATGCCTTCCTCTCTATCAAATGAAATTAATTACAGAATCACCGATATAAACTTCCTATAGGGATAATTTTGGGTAATTGTTAGTATGAGCTCACTTCTCTATCTGAAGGGACTTCAATACAAAACTATTGACACAAACTTAAGTAATGGTATACACTTAACTATAAATAATAGTATCCTCTCTATCTGAGTCACTACTATTATTTATAGGACTAAAGCTAAACCAGCTATTTAATTCTACTTGTCATGGTATAATGGCTAGATAGTAAAATTAATAGACAATGGCCTGTCTGGACAAATGATGGATAGTATATGTCTTCCCCTATCGAGGCATGCTATTCACAGTGCTGCTGGTGAATTCATTTAAATATTGGTAGAAGGAACCAAAATTTAAATTTAAATTCAATGTTTTATTTTGACAGTCATAATTTTTTTTTAATTTTTAAAATTGGTGATTCTTTCAATCCTCTTTCTGTTATACTTAAAGAACACAAATTAGATGGATCAAACTATATACAATGGAAAAGAAATTTGGACATTGTGTTGACTGCTGATGAGTACAAATTTGTGCTTAGTGAACTCTATCCAGATGAACCTGATGATGGAACAACCAAAAAGGATGTCCTGAATTATTGGAGATGGATAAAGGCTGCTGAGATAGCGCGGTTACATTCTGACATCTGTGTTAAATGTGTTGCAACATCAGCACGAGTCTATAGCCACTGCCTATGACATGATTGTGAGCCTCAAAATATGTTTGGGGATCAAAGTCGTGCGGCTAAGCAAGTGGCGATGAGTGAACTGATGAACACAAATATTGCTGAAGGGACACCAGTAAGGGATCATTGTCTGATGATAATGAATCTCTTTAATGAGTTGGAGGTCCTAGGAGTTAAGATGAGATTGACGAAGAAACCCAGGTTGATATCATACTTTAGTCACTGCCAGAGTCTTTTAAGTAGTTTTGCCTAAATTACAATATGAATAAGTGTTCTTATACATTAGCAGAACTTCTTAAGGAACTCTAGGCAGCTAAGGATCTGTTTCAGAAATCGCGTTTATGTAATTGAGAAAGGTTATAATTCTAAGCCGAAAGGCAAGAAGAAAAAGAAAAAGGCTCAAAAGCATATTAAAGCGCCTCAAGCTACAGTGAAAAAGCCTAAAGGCAAGTGTTTTCATTGCAAGCAGTCAGGGCACTGGAAGAAGCAATGTCCAGTCTATCTCTCTAAGATGAACAATCCAATTAAATCTCATTTACTAGTTGTTGAATCATGTTTAGTGATGTCATCTACTAGTACATGGTGTGTAGATACTGGAGCCACTAATTATGTATGCAAATACTTGCACAGGTTTCAGGAAACTAGACGATTTATTGATGAGGAGATTTACCTTCACATGGGCAATGTTACGGGAGTGGCACCAGTTGCCTTTATGCTCCAAATATTAGAAGGAACTTAGTTTCGATTTTTAAATTAGTTAGAGATGGATATAATGTTTATTTGAACGACTCTGTGGTTATTAAGTATAATAAGAATTTTATTTGTTCTAGTTCATTGGTGAATGATCTTTATATTGTTAATCCTATCTCACCTACACTGCAATTAACTGAATTGAATAAAACTAGTACCTCATCATGTAAGAGAAAGGAACATTCTAAAATGAATCAAACGTATCTTTGGCACTTACGCCTAGGTCATATTTAGTTAAGGAGGATTCAAAAACTGGTTGCAAATGGACCATTGAGTTCATTGGAAGTGAAGGCACTTTCAGTCTATGAATCTTGCTTGGAAGGTAAAATGACTAACAAGCCCTTTACAGCCAAGAGCTACAGAGCAAAAGATTTGTTGGAATTGGTTCATTCTAATTTGTGTGGACCCATGACTGTCCAAACAAGAGGCGGCTTTGAATATTTCATTACTTTTATTGATGATTATTCAAGGTATGGGTATATTTATTTAATACGCCGTAAGTCTGAATGCTTTGAAAAATTCAAAGTGTTTAAGGCTGAAACGGAGAAGCGTCAAGGGAAGTGTATCAAGATATTACGATCAGATCGTAGTGGTGAGTAACTCTTAGGAGAGTTTAGGGATTACTTATTAGAGGTATGGATAACATCCCAGTTGTCGGCACCTCACACACCACAACAAAATGGTGTGATAGAAAGAAGGAATAGACTCTTATGGATATGGTTAAATCTATGATGAGTTATTTAGTTTTACCCGATTCCGTTTGGGGATATGCCTTGAAAATTGTGGCATACATTCTGAACTTGGTGCTATCTAGGTCAGTACCTACCACACTGCCACAGAATTGTGGACTGGGCGTAAGCCTAGTTTGTAGCACATTCGGATTTGAGGGAATCCAGCACACGTGCTGAAAGGGAACACGGATAAGTTGGAGCCAAGAACAGAAGTCTGCTTGTTCGTGGGGTATCCAAGAGGAACAAAAGATGGTCTTTTCTATAGTCCTAAGGATCAGAAGGTTATTGTTAGTACCAATGCCCGATTTTTAGAGGAAGACTATGTGATGGATCACAAGTGTAAGAGTAGAATTGTTCTCGAAGAGTTAAGAGGAGATAGATCAGAAAATATTTCTTCAATACCAATTGTACAAAGAGAGGCATCACATGTAAGAGTAGACGATATCCTATTGATTCGTCGTAGTGGGAGAAATATCGATACTCGTGCAGCACCTGCACAAAATATTACTGATAATACATAGATACTGGCAGAGCCTCGTCGTAGTGGGAGGTTATTCGTCAACTCGAACGGTATATGTTTTTGGAAGAGTCTTTTGACAAGATTCCTGAGGAACAAAATGCTAATTCCTAGACCTACAACGAAGCACTCCAAGATAAAGATGCAGAACTTTGGCAAATGACTATGATATCTGAGATGGAGTCCATGTACTCCAATCAAGTCTGGGAACTTGTAAAGCCACTCAATGGGATAAAACCCACTAGATGCAAATGGGTCTATAAGAGAAAGAGAGGATCAGACGGTAAGGTAGAAAAATATAAGCCAAGACTTGTTACAAAAGTGTTTACTCAGAAAGAGGGAATCGATTATACGGAGACTTTTTTGCCGGTAGCTATGCTGAAGTCGATCCAGATTCTCTTATCCATTGTAGTTTATTTCGATTATGAGATTTGGCAAATGAACGTCAAGACAGCGTTCCTTAACGGGAATCTTAACAAATGTATCTATATGGTACAAGCAGATGAATTTGTAGCAAAGGGTCAAGAGCATCTAGTGTGCAAGCTTAAGAGATCCATTTATGGACTTAAGCTGGCATCTAGATCTTGAAACATTCATTTTGATCAGACTATTAAATCTTATGGTTTTAATCAATGCCCTGATGAGTCCAGTGTGTATAAAAGGCATGACAAAAATATGATCGTGTTCCTAGTATTTTACGTGGATGATATTTTGCTCATCGAAAACAATGTGGGGGTGTTATCTTCTGTTAGGGTATGGTTATCTATGAAAGATCTAGGAGGGGCTGGTCACATCCTTGGGATCAAGCTTATGCAAAATCGCAAAGATAGGATGATAGACTTATCTCAAACTACCTATATCGATACCATTCTAGCCCGTTTTAGCATGCAAAATTTTAAGAAGAGATTTCTTCCTTTCAGACATAGAGTTTCTCTGTCAAAGGAGCAATGTCCTAAGACACCTGAGGAGATAGAGAGCATGAAGGCAATTCCTTATGCTCCGGCAGTGGAAAATCTCATGTATTCTATGCTTTGCATTAGATTTGATATCTGTTTTGCCGTTGGCATGGTTAGGAGATATCAGTCTAACCCTGGGCAAGAACATTGGACTACGGTAAAACATATTCTCAAGTACCTGAAAAGGACAAAAGATTATATGCTAGTTTACCCGGCAAATAGTCTAGTACCCATCGGGTACACGGACTCTAATTTTCAGTCAGATAGGGATTCTAGAAAGTCAACTTCAGAATATGTGTTTACTCTAAAGAGGTGGAGCCATAGGTTAGAGGAGTATCGAGCAATCTTGTATTGTTGATTCCACCATGAAGGCCGAGTACGTGGCGGTTTTTGAAGCAACCAAAGAGGCAGTTTGGCTTAGAAATTTTCTAATGGTACCCTCGATAAAATCGGCTATTACACTTTATTGTGACTACAACGAAGCGGTCGCTAACTTGAAAGAACCACGAACCCATAAGAAAGGGAAGCACATTGAGCGCAAATATCACCTTATACGAGATATTGTGGAAAAAGGTAATGTAATGGTGACCAAGATTGCATCATCAGACAAATCCCTTTACAAAGAACTTACCAGCAAAGACTTTTAATAGTCATGTGGAGGAAATGGGAGTCAGATGTATAATAGCATGACTTTGAGTATAAGTGGGAGATTTGATAGAGCAGTATACTAAAAATTTTCTTTTTTTAGTGAAACTTATTTTATTAAGTAATGAAAGTTTATTCTTTCTATTTTATTGAGAATCTATATAGGCAAAATATTTGTATTATATTTTATATATGATATGCATGTGTGTTTTATAGTTTACATTGTAAATAATCTGGTGTTTAGAGTTCAGCTTATGCACAAAAAACCAGATTATCATATTCTTGTTTAGTATGAGTATATGTTCACAATCGTAGATGGAATTGGACACGCCATCGGTATGATTGTAGTTATATTCTGACATAGTCTGTCTTGACTATAGGAGATTGTTTGATGTCTCGAATTATTACACTAGTGCACTTTGTGTATTGAACAGACCCATATTGAGGTTATTATCTTTTATTGATTTAATAAAATAATAAATACCTCATGATGATTATGATTGTTTATACTCTTAATCCCTAAATATTTAATTATCACGTGCATATAATGTTTGTCACTTTAATTCATCAAAGAATGAGATTCTTATTGGGTCAATAAGCTCAATGAATTGCGAGACGATGTTATTTATATGATAGAAATTAATTATTAAAGGAAACCACATCTTAGTATTTAAATGGGTTGATAATGTTTTCTTGAGGAAACTCATAAGTTTTTTCCATGTCAAACCCTGCAGGGGAATTTAATTATTCGACATGACAAATAAGTTGACTGGTAAGGTTGACTGGTAAGGTCTCAAGGAATAAAAGAAGTTAATTAAATAAAATTGTCAATAATTTATTTAATTGATGACCATCTGTAATATTAAACGTAGGGAGATTATTAAGCATATAATAATAAGGAACTCGAATATAATTTTGAGATAAGGCCTAAGAGATCATTAATAAGTCTTTAGTGGACTAACTTATTATTAATGAGTTGTAGGATGTTTGTTCCGAATTGAACATAAGACTCCTAAGCCCATTAAGAGTCCGGTCCTTATTTCTCCTTAGAGTTTCTATCGTAACCTATATATAGACATCTGGGTTTTCTATTTCAGCATATATTCTTTACTCAAGTTTTTTGAGAGAGGCGGAAAGAAAGTGCAAGGATTCGGAGGTTACTCAAATAACCTGTCTTATTTAGATCCAATCAACAGACCAACAAAGCATGGAACAAAAACATAATGTTTTATTTTTCTTATTATTAAGGATGCTTCAGTGGACACCTATTTACCACGTATGCATGTGTGTGCACATAAGTTAATTCAAGTTTTCCACCTGTGAGAATACATATAGACAGATAATTACCGTGAATGTAGCTCACTTCGAGTCATTCCATCAGTATTTTCGAACAATATACTCTCACTTTCTTCTTCAATAGCATATACCAAGAGTCCATATTGACAATAACCACCAGCTGTAGCTTGAAACCAGGCTAGATCAACATGTACTCCATAGATCCTCAAAGCAGGATTGGCAAAAGTTTCAAGCCATCTAAGGACAGGGCGAAACATGGCTCTGAGACAACCCCGGCATACCAAGCGCAATTGTGCGTTCAAACCAGCCACAAACCGATACCAGGTTGTAGGTGGGACAGACTGAAAGAAAGGAAAACAGCTAGTAACTTCGATAGTACATCACGGTTTGCTTAGACAAAAAGTCTCCCAGTTCAATAAACTAAATGGTAAGTGCCTCAGTCTCAAGTTACAAACCTGACTCATAAGACTCGTGATAATATTGTCATTGTGAAGAGAAAAAGGAGACATGTAAGTTCCATCACCTCCAAACAATAAAGACATCGGAAATCTTTCATGAAGACGAGGAGGAAGATCAGATCTCTTTTCATCCCCGCCAAGAAAAAAGTCCACATATGCCAACATTAGATCAGATGTTGCAGCTACCTATGGGAGTACAGACCAATAATGATAAGCTTGAAAAGTTTCTGAATTTCCTTGGGCCGAGAGCATAACATATATGCAAATAACACAGCTCTTCTAGACAAATGCGTATTACACAATTGAAAAAGGCGGGGAGACAACAAAAGGAACCAAAAAGAGAAAGAAGAAATCAATTTCCAATTCAATTCAAGCATGCTCACCAAAACAATGCTTGCCAATTCAATTTCACTATGCATGGCATATAATTACCCGATATGGATAGAACAAAAAACCATATGTGCAGCAGCAAAAATAGGCCAGATATCTTGCAAATTCGAAAACAAAACAAGAACTCTAAATTAGATGCAAAAGGTAAGTAAAGAGTATACTTTATATTTCCATTTTTCACTGGCTATGCACTAAAGCACCAAGAACAGTAAAGTAGTTGTCCTCACATGACCAAAAATGCTTCCAATAGTCCTCCTGAACAAAACATTAAGTTTATCTGTGTTGCATTTTTTCTTGTTTTTCTTTCCATTATTTCTCCATTAATTAAGATGTGTGCTTTTGGGAGTGCCAAAGCACTTAATAGAAAATAACTATGACAAAAAAGTAACTTCCAATTAGGTTATGCAGCAATGGTTAAACTCATGAAGCTCCACTATATAATGAATAACAAAGAACTTACAATGTGTATCGATTACCCATGAACCTGAATTCCTAAATTATTGACAGTTCATAACTTCATATGGAGATGGAACAAATCACTAGCTACATAAACATATGATATGTATAATGAAATATATGATCGGATTGCAACATTTGAACTACTTTTATCTCACACATACCACATTTTCCCAAACTTCTATATAAACTAACCTTCAGCCCTTCATACAGAGCACGTGAGCGACAAGACCGTAAGCAAGCATGATCATACTCTGACCTGACAAATTCACGAAGTCGCTGTAACTTCATTCTCCGACGCCATTGTTGCCATGACCATGCAAGAGGATATGTAAGAACACATAGAATGCTGAACACTGATCCCTCCCACCACTGGAAGGCGGCTATAGCATTAATCTCATCCACAAATCTATTGAATGCGCCCTCATATCTACCCAAATAGTTTGCAATCATTGAAAGAATTAAACCACAATTTATGAAGAGTGATTACCAAGAGAAAAAAAAAATCAAATGACTCCCTCTCCACCCTCCAAAACAAAAAATGCAACTGCTGAAGATGACTAATCACCCTTGAGAAAGCAATAAAAAATAAACAATTAAAAGGAAAAATAAAAAACTTACACAATCCCCTTTACTTGTTCTGGAGGTGTATGAGGAAGATGCCAAGGTTCTCTGAATGTATTTGAACCCATAAAATACATTCTATGTACGTGACTCTGTGATTCTTCAACTCTGTTTGTTTCTAAAACCTGAAAATGTGAAGGTAAGTTCACCTTTCAGTATTTTTGTTTAAATAAAAAGGAAACAGAAAAGGCCAACAAAAAAAGATGAATAGCATATTTTCTTTAATTGACTAATTGGCATCCCATATATTGAAGGAATATGGTTTATTCAAAGAGACACCTCATTCAGTGATTCCAGGAAAGGAAATGAGTGAGCAATTTGAGAGCTGTGCTGTGTGGGAGCAGGGCCCGGTGATTCATCGACGCCAACAAACTTCATTCGTGCAACACTAAGCACCAAAGCTAACAAGATGAGGAGACCCAAAAGAAGAAGACCAAACAACCAAGGCCCACCAAATGTGTATATCAACTCCTCGAGAGCTGTATAGCAATGTGGCATGTGATAACTATCCGAAATGCATTTGTAAGGACAAGGTGCTTCAGTAATACCACCTGTTATAAGAACAAGGTGACAATTTAAAGAATCTTTAAAAATAATTAGCAAACACCTTTCAAATGCACATCATTTTATAAATCACTGAACTATAACCAAAATGGCAGGGGGGTGGATTGAGTGAAGGAATAGCACACCTCGTTTACTCACCTCCTGGTGCTTTCTAGTGTTCCTTAAACTATCAATTTTCATTCTTGCAGTTTAAAAAAGAAAAGCATGTGCCACTAATAATAAAAAAAGAGTGCCCTCAGGAAGACAAGCACAAGGCAGAGATCCACAGTAACAGCAACACCTCTAGGTGCAACATTGCATTAGATGAAGATTCATATCTCACATAACATGTAAGAGATCATGCGCACCAATACCTCGGACGGCAATGTAAATGCCACGTTGGGGAAGCTCATCAACTGGGCATGGAAAACAAAGGGCTATATCAGATCCCGTGACATTTTTATAGGTGCCAGTTGGACATTCCTGCAGAAATGTAAGCCATATGAAACACCTTTTACCAGAATGGATTGAGCTGGAAATAGATTGCCTAATGGCAGTGCTGCCACAGCCCACAACTGACAAATTTTATTTCTTTGAAGGACAAAAGTCAAAATACCAGTACAATAACTGATTTCTGGAAAAAATGAATATTTAAAGATTTCAAGGTTCCATAAATCCTTAAATTCTACATTCAAAAAAAGAAAAAAGCAGCCTAGGTTTTGTGTGAATATAAATGGCCTAGGTTGCATGAAAAACCAAAAAGATACATTTTAGTCAGGAAAATTTAGTCGCAATTTCTGAACCATAGAAATCCTAGAAATCGAGCAGTTGAAAGTGGCTTATAGTTGATAAGTTGCATATGTATTATATCTGAACAAAACTATTGAAAACCAAAAGAAAATTTAACAACTCAAAAGAAAATCACCATGTAGTAAATTGTAAATGTACCTCACAGAAGGTTCCATAAAGGCCTTTTGGGCAAGCTCTTCCCGTCACTGTCCCTTTTTCCCCAGCTTCACCAGGGTTTCCACCCAGTCCACCCCTACAGTAACAACAGAAAACCACCAATTGTCACTGAAAAAGCATAACCAACACATAAGCTAGAACTTAAGTATTAGCAAATGAAACATTATATGAGAACAAGATATGTTATGTGCCTGTTCTTCAGAAGAACTCACTTAAAAAAGGCAGAAAAGGTCTTTCAGAAAGCAACTTAAAAAGTGCAGAAAAGGTCTTTTGGAAAGCATCAGAGGCACTAAACTTGCCATATAGTCAAATCTGCATTATTGGGACGAGTGACCAAAGGAGCTCTAATTCTGATATATATTTTCTATTTGTTACATAATGCATATATGTGATTCATTGCTTAGTGCAGTGATCAAATGCTCAACTTGTCAAGTGAGGGAATATAATTCAAGTATGAGAGGAACAACTTTTTGGAAAAGTTAGATTGGTATCTTGTCTAGGCGGTCTAGCCCTCCCATCACTCCACTTTGGCAGGAGTTGCACCTTTTCGGACAACCCAACGGTGACTTCAACTGTGCACCCCTCCGTAAAATTGTTTGGCGGGGCTAGTGGAAGATTTCTACTTAAGTACGAGCTAGTGCTAATTTCCAATACCAATATGTAGGCCATCATCAACAAATGGAACTGAGTTTCATAGCTTTTCACTTGGCCATGACTAGATATAATTTTCATTAGGTGGTTAGATGATTTCCTAGCACCTGCAATGACATCTATGTGGAAGATCATGAAACAATCAGCAAAAAAGACATTCATTAAAATATTAGGTTTATATGTCACTTCATATTGCATTTATGTAGCATGCTTTTATTTGATTTGCAAACTCAGACTAATAATAAAGTACACATACACTCGCATAAAAAATAAGTAGGCATGCAAGAACAAAAATATAAATAACAAAAGTATAGCAAGTTCAAGGAAGACAAGGGACTAATAACAAGGTTTCTGAGTTTTACTTTTCTTTTCTTTTTTTTTAATCTTAAATTGTAAGCCCCAAGTCCCAAAAAACTAAACTTGCGCTCAATGTTGTCTACAATTGAAGTTCAATCACACTATTTCACTACATTGGATAACCAAATTTTACAATAGCTTTTGGGAAAAATAGCTCAGCTAAAAATAATAAACGAATCAATATGACATCTTTAAGGTTAAAGTATTTGCAGTCAATTTTTGTTTCTTCTTTTCTCATGTGTTTATGACCTACATACATTTGCCACATAGGTATCCAAGCGCATGAGCACACGTCTTGTGACAACAAATCTAACAAATGTTGAAAGGATAATATCTCCATGTCTTCCCGAAAACAAATTCTAGATCCATTGACAACAATGCCTCTCTTGCATTAAATGAAAAGCACAACCACCTCCTGTGAAGTGATTAACAAAATGAGTAGTTGGAATGGTCATGTAAGCAGCCCAACTATAATCCTACTCCTGATAAGGAGTTGTAGGAATGGCAACATTAACAACCTGATTATAATCGTGATAACTTAACCTACTTTTGATGAAAGAATACCAGTCCAATTTCCTGTATGGTTATCTGTAAGCAGTGTTCAGTCAGGGCCCTGTTCATTAAGATCAAATTAAACAATCCCAAACCATCCTTCTAAGGATGTAAATACACCTCCGTCTCACCTAGTGGTTTTTTGATGACTTCCTAGTCATAAAACAGAGAAACTTCATTGGATTCTTCCTATCACTGCCCAACCGCACCCAACACCATGGACACCTTTTCAAAACCTGTAATGATGAAAAGTTCACCAAAGTATAAAATTCACGATGGCCACTGAAATGGGGATATGTTTCAGCAATGTGTTCTAAGGAACAGCAGAGTCAGAATGGGATTGCCCTAAATGTAGACACTTGAGAGAATTGGTGAAATTTATATTCTTCAAAGGGAGGTGGACAGTGAGATGACATAGAGCTCTAATTAGTCTTCTCAGTTGAACCCTTCAACTTGTCATGAAAAAAGAGATGGTATTGGCACCATTCTGGCAACTGGAAGTACAATGATCCGAAGCTCTGCATGAGGTTTTTTTTCTCCTAACCAACAGCAATGTACATGTGCTTAACTAGTAGACTTGGGTTTAGCAAAGTTGTGCACTCCAGTTCTGCAAGAATGGCAAGAGTCTGGTGACACTTAAAACTGCTTGCATAAATGGTTAAAAGACAACCAAAAGCCGGAAAAAAAAACCAACATGAATGTTTGGAAGGTGGTAAATGGAGCATCGTCCATTGAATGCAAAACCTCTCACACAACCCGCTAATTTTGCTAAGTTCCACCTATCTGAAGGGGGAATTTTACTTCCGTTTTAACCCCTGTTCCATATGTATGGCTGCTTCTTTGCTCTGCCACATTGGGCATTATAGGGAAAAAAAATTTATCTGAAGAAAACAAATTTGAATTTGCAGAAAACTTGATAATGTAGAGTGGAAGCATTAGTTGTCTTATAAGTTAGATCCTCTAGGAATCGGCATTCCAAAAGATTGATACAGTAATAGGTATAATTAGGCCTGAAATGTTTTGAAGGACTGACAGAGTCACTAGCCATGAAAGAATTATTTATGCCACATTTAGTACATACACATTCAGGGTCATGTTATAAAACCCAAAAAAAAAAAAAAAAACCTAGGAATGGAATGCAGGAGATAAATATAAGAAGAGTGCAACAACCTTTTTTTTCCCTGAAAACTTTCGAAGTCTTTAATAAATAAAACAAACTATCAGATGATAAAAAATTGTTTGCCTTAATATAGTGTGCCATAGAGGAAATCTAACAAGCACCATAATGAATGGAAAGGGACAAAAATAAAGTTGAAACTTCAACAAAATCCAGGCCAAATATTGTGAATACTCTTAGTATTTACTAAGGTGGCGTTTGGTAACGTTTTGTTTTGTTTTTGTTGTGTTTAATTATCAATTGTTTTGTTTTGAGTTTGTTTTTAAAATTTTCAAACAAAAAACATGTTTGGCAATGATTTTTTAGCAAAGTAGGAAATATAAACCTAAATCCTTTTGATATATGATTTTTTTCTATGTAAGAATAGTTACAAACCAAACAAGTTACAGGCCATGACACACCAACCAACATGATCGTGCAAACCATTGTTACAACATAAAAATGAATATCCGCCACCACTTTTGCCTTCCCATCTCAATTGCATATACCCCATGCCAAGTCCCGCAAGTTCTATTTACCGCCATCCATGCCATATCTCCTTTCCCTCCCAGCACAACTTCAGCACAGAAACATCAAAAAGCAATTTCAACTAGCAAAATGCAAACCTGAATTTCGATTTGTAGTCTCTAGAAGTGGACAAGACCAAAGTTAGCATCGCTGTGTAACAATTTTTTTGTGCATGGCACTGTTGATGTTAAAAAATATTTGAACCGCGCGCGCGAGAGAGAGAGAGAGAGAGAGACCCTTTTTTCTGAGTTTTTGTGATTAAAAAAGCAATAAAATGTTGTTTCCTTTTTTTTTAAAACATACATGGTTATTTGAAACAAGAAATACTATCAAACAATGTTTTTAAATTTTGTTTAGATTTTTTTTTATATATAAAACAAAAATAGAGACATACCAAACAAGCTGTAAGTCTATCAAACAAACAACAGCAACCTAGTGGGGTTAAATAATTCACTATTGGGATCAAAATTTGTTCACACGACGTCATCTTTTTCCCTTATGATCGCATTTACAATGTTCATTCTTTATGTAAGACACTTTCATTAACCATTAAACCTGTCATCATTGGCAAAAATAGTGGTTAAATACTTCATCCAACCATTACGAGAGGAAAATTTAGTAAAATGAAAAAATCCAGAATGAAGCAACCAGCACTTTGCACAAATACAAGATCCACGAGATATAAAGAAACCTGAAATTAACTAATGCCTTGCAGAAAGAGACGACATAGGTTTCACAAAGATCAAAGGGGAAAACAGAGGAGAAAAATATGTACAAACCCAGTATTTATGCTTCCATTCACACTAGCTATTGGCTGGTATACGTCTCCGGTGGGAATGTCTGACCAATGAAAGTGAATCCTTCCACCACCTCCTCCACCACAACCATTGGAACAACCAAGACCACCAGCACTGGAAAGAAGGCCAGTCTCACCAAGAACCAGAGCACTCAAAAACAAAAGAATAGTTCCACCAGATCCGCCTCCAGGACCTCCGTTCTGATCATCCACAATTCCATAATCATTCTTCTGGGAATTTTCTCCATCAGCTCTAACTGAACCTTCAACAAATAAACTTGACAGGGGATGCATCTGTGAACCCATTACTGTGAGGTAAGAAAAAAAAATGCAATAAGATCAAAAAAGTAACTCCCAATCCCAACTCCAACAATGTTAGAAATACTAGCACACAAAACTTCAAGTATGAAAGTTTTAAGGACAATCACAACCTCAATTGATGTGAGCAGAAATTATTTTCATCACCAACTCAGGAACAAATTGCAAATATATATATGCACATGTACACACATATGCATGTCCAATTAAATCCAATAGCATATACGTTTTATTACATTCTTAAAGACTTCTTATTCTTACTCTCCCCAAAAACTTCTAATTTCCATGTCCATAGATAAAGTGCTCCTAATTGTAATTATCATTCGCTAGGAATTCTAAGTAGGTCAATCACATGTCCATTTATGTTCAATTGACTTGAATTTGACTGGCATGATCAGCAAGAAAGAACAACTGACGTGAAATTAGACATCCATTGATCTTCCATTACTTTGGTGGAGAATAATGCAGTAATTGTTTTTTTTTTTTTTGTTAGGAACGAAAACAATTTTACTAATTTGAAAATAGCACGTCCGAGAAAACAAGGGATGGACAACACAACCGACAAAGAAATGGAGAAAAACTCAATACATGATAACCATGAAACACGAAATCCTCCAATCCACCAAAATATAAAAAAAAATGGAATGCCACCAAAATCCTTAGAAGTTGAAGTCCACAATGAAGCCAAAAAATAGATCACATCCCATAAGTCTTCCTTCCACTAACCTCTATCTTTAGATATTCTAGAGTTCCTCTTCAACCAAATGACCCATATCTTGGCTAAAATTACAGAATTCCAAAGGTCACCCATTTCTTATGATTTCCAAACCCTGGAATACATCTACAAACATAGGACAAAAAATTCCCAAGAATCAACCAGCTCAAACCTACCAATTGAAATAGTTTGGAGTCCTGGACCAGTTGATACACAAACTTGCACCTTATGGGAACTTTAGTCATCCAAATCATCACAGAAACGGAAAATAGGAACATACGGGATCATCAATCAGTTTATCGAATAAAGATTTACATAAAAACCCCCCGAAGACTGAAGAGTCCACTTTCTTTTATAAATTGACCATTGACACAAACTAAAGTCATTAATCAAAAAGGGAAGTGACACCAATTCTGTAATATCTCTACCATCAAGATGCCTAAGGGACCCAAAATCTCAAGAAACTGAGTGATGAGAAGAATAACACCTCGAAGCAATAGAAGATCCATTATATATACTGCTAGAATGAATTCTTCATCTTCCTACCACATCATGTTTGGTATCAGAAATTGTAAGTGTCTTCGAGCACCTTATGACAAAACGACATAATTATCAACACATAGTTTTGCCCTCCAAACATGATTTAGTTACGATGCATGGGATAGCTTAGTACACATTTGTGAATAATGAGTTCCCATTCAAATGTCTTTAATCCTCTAAAAAATGGCTTAAATTTCAAAACCTAATGTCCAATTACTTCACAACAATGGAAACAATACCTTATTATTCTACTCATCTTTCTCATCAGATGTTTCTCCATGCAAGTTTTGCCAATCTTTTACATAAACTTTCTTTTTTGCCAATGTTTTCCATAAACTTTCTTACTTTATCAAAGAGACTGAAATTCAGAAATATCCTACCCACATGCTACTACAACCCAACTTGAACTCAATAAAAAGTAAATAAAATGAACTGTTAGGCTTTAGAATACATCTTACTTTATCAAAGAGAATGAAAATTCAGAAATATCCTACCCCCATGCTACTACAACCCAACTTGAACTCAATAGAAAGTAAATAAAATGAACTGTTAGGCTTTAGAATACAAAAGATGGTTTCCAGCAAAACTACCCTAATGACAATTATATTTCATGCTCCTAAGTCCTAAGTTTTTCCCTTCACAACAGAATGTTTGTTTCATAATATAAACTACATCTTCTTGTGTTAGCACATTTAAAGTTACGAAAAGTGTTACACTGACCAATTTAAGTTTACCTAAAATACCACCACCAGTAGATGAACTAGCCAAACTGTCATTTCCACTTCCACTACCCAGTTCACAAGGCAAATCCGAATCACCATATGATATACCACCCTCGATGCAGCTGCCATTATAACAAGCAATTCCACCTTTACCGCCATGCCCACCACCACTACCAGGACCATCGCTTAGAATTTTTCCTTGACCCACACCTCCAGTGCAGCCTGTACAAGCACCATAATGAATCGATAATATTGTTAAGAATATGGTTCACCTATGCTATTGAAGCATGTTCCCTAAAAAGATTTTCCCCTTCAAGAAGGTACATGGATGAGAAAACTTCCCAAATCATCCAAGATTTCGTAGAAAGATAAATAGATAAAGAAACTCAAAGTAGCATAACTGATCAACTTATCATTATCTGTTAGAAACACAAAGAGAAGGAAATTGAAAGCATACCCATCCCTGAAGTGCTAATTGTTCCAGAAGACGGCACAGATATAGTCCTCGCCCTATGGAAATGAATAACGGATCCTTCTATAAGTCCTTCAACAAGGATATCTTCAACTCGGCAGATCTGAAGAAGGAAATGAATAAAAAAGCTAATTAACCTAATGGGAAAAACTTTCCGTACCTACCACTATGCAATCTATCTTATAGCTAATAACCACCTGTAGAGTGAAGGACAGTGAAGTGTTCACATTGCAATCTTCGGGGGGATGAAGCAGTTCGATGGGACAATCCTGACGTTCACAATTCAACTTCGGTGTCCTATCATGCACCAAATACCAATACTCAGAAAAATCAAACAACAGAAAATGATAGAAACTGAAAAACAGGGAATCCAAACTTACACTGCATCAGCAGAAGCATTTTCCAAGGGACCACGCAAGACTGATCCAGGTCCAACCTTCATGCAGAAAGATGGTTAAGAAAAACGAAAAAGAAGAAGAATTACATAGTAATGGCATTAACTGAATGTTTATGTTCAGATTCTTTCAGCTGCAGCCTAAGTTAATAATCAGATCAAAGAATTTAAGAAGAGGGAAACACAATCAGGTGTGTTGCTCATCTCTGAAATGTCATGTACAAGGTTAATATTAATGGTTCATGCAAGAATAAATGGTTGAGAACTGGTAACCAGTAAAATAGAAGTCATAAGCAATTTAGTAAGGTGAGCCATCCTTGAACTGCTAGAACCTCATAGTTGCACTTTATTTAAGGTACCTCACCCAGCCCTAAGCTAAACTTCCTAGGTTGAATTTTGCTGTGCTTGCATCTTTCTGGCACCTAGGGCTACCATTAACAACCAGAATATGAGCTCATGAGGATGTAAAAGAAATTCTTTTTAACTTGCCACTGATACAAAGTCTTTCTGAATTGAACTTCCTTGATCAATCCATAATTTGACAGTAGATTAATAGAAGAATCAAGAATTATTATGCCATATTTCCCTACAAGCCAATAAGAAAGTAACAACTGCAATTGGCAACAATCAGATATGAGAAAATAACTGACAGCAAAGTTGGGCTAAATGATACCATAATGCGGGACGAGAAAAGGATTTTCAAAGGTATAAAGGGCCAGGGACTCAGAGGTCACTGCAATAATAGGAAAAGGGTAACATTGACCAAATTTCTCAAGATCGGGTGTCTGATGAGCTACACATATCTCTCAACTTGGCTTTGCCACGTGGGACACAAGCAGGACAATTGCTCATCTTTCGATTGCTCATTCACCAAAAAGAATTGCAAGGCAAAGTATAGTAGGTCAGATAGAATCATGATGGCCAAGCCTTGAAGAGAACCGGCAAAGGTGGTGCTATCATCCTTGGACGGGAAAATTCATCAAATGCCTCATGACAATGGCTAAGATGAGATTCTGTTTGTGTTCACGAAAAATTAGATTGTGCGTCTGCTTCAGACTAATTATAGGCTACATTGAGTACACACTATGACAGAAAAGGGGAGGGAAGCAAAACAAAAGCAAGACAGATTTGAAGGGGGTGGGGAGAGAGGGTTGAGTTGATATTTCAAACTGCAAAATCCAAACACAGTTAAGATGGAAAGAGACGATAAGAATTCAAAGCACTGTAAACTGTAACATGGTAGCTGCCAAAAGAAAAACGAGTAAAAGAAGAAATCATCAAAGCTAGCCCTGGTCAACCAGATGGACCCAAAGCTGGCCAAGATGGAGATTTATTAACCTACACAAATCAAATGAAGAAGAAAAGCAGAATACAAAAATTGCAAAAATGCATCACTCCCAACCAAATTTAGAACTTTTTAAAAAGGCCAAATAATAAAAATAAAAAAATTGCAAAAATGTCCAAACAATCCTAACGCAATCCCTGATTGACTAAATTTGAATCTAGGTTGTGCAAGAGAACTAGTGTGAGATTCCATGTCTCAGGACCATCAACCCTCCAAAATTGTGGCAGCACTTATAATGCAAATGGCAAGGACCACGTAGGCTACAGAACCAAGACCAAACAGCTGCAACAGCAACTTTGGTGTTTTCAAGTAAGTCCATGTTCAGCTTAGTTGAAGCACAACGAGAAGTACAAAACAAATGCACTAATGGAAGCACTGAAGAAATTGAAATTACAAATTGAAAACATAGGTACATAAGAATTCAATTGGACTGCAGAAAATAAATAGCTCGATTTCCATGGATTCTATAATCAACTACAAGTGCATGAATCCTCAAAGATTACATAACTGCAGAAAATAATGAAGTATCTGCTTACATGGATACTATAAAACAGCGACAGAACCAGACGTTGTGCTTCAATACTATCTCCTGGTCCTGACAAATTTAATAACCCTTGTCCATAAACTCCCAGATTTGCATTAGATTGTATGATAGATGACTCCTGAGTAAGAAAAAATGGTTCAGCAAGGAATACATGAATGCCTAATGAGTACCATACTATAAGATAAATGCATGTCCAGTGGACCACCTTGAGCACAATCAGATTACTAGCCTCAAGCAAGGATATCTCAACATTTTGATCTCCACCACCATCTATAATCATTTTTGAATTCCACATCAAAAAAATTTTGACAGACATGCGAAGAGCCCCATAAACCTGAAACCACAAAATGCAGATTCCAGCAAGCATATAATTAGCAAATTATGAGGGTCAGAAAGGGGAGGGAGTGTTGACAAACATGAAGTAAATCTCAAATAGAATCACACCCAGTGGAAACATAATACAGTAATTGTATGACGTGCTGCAACATTTGTAATACTGACCAGAAGTGTTATGATTTAACTGAGATTTAATCCAGTTGTTTTCAAGGAAACAGTACAACTGGAAAAAACTCAATAGAAGGAGAAGGAATAGATCTTGAAGAAAGTAAACAAAGGAAGCCGGTAAGAAAATAAATTAACAGAACAATCAAGGCGAGAGTAAAAGATACAAGTCTATGACTGACTGAGTCAATGATTAGAAATTTAAGCATATTCTCTGTTATATAATGCTGCTGTGAGAGATAAACCCAGTTCATAAATTTGCTCCTTCATGTTTTTCTTTTGGTTCCTACTCTTTCTAAATTAATTAGTAACAGATTAAATATATTAACACCTACCTGTATATACCATTACCCAAGAGTTGACCAACAATCCATAGTTATGACAAAACAACACCCTCAACCCGCTCTACGAACTGTGCTGACCATCTCAACTTATGCACTGTAGGTTGGGCTCCTATTACAAAACAACCAAAATGATTCCGGTAATCCGTAAACCTACTTATCATCAAAGAGAACTCTGCGGGTAATCCAACAATATTCTAGTTCTAACCGATTTGATTCACAAGTTCCCAAGAAATTTGCCACAAAAACTTTGTACATTGTATAAAAGCAGCACCCAAATCATTTTTTCAGATTTCTAGCAGTGTTGGAGAAATAGATGCATCTGGAGGAGGTCGCTAGAGGTGTGGGCCACAGCTCCTCTTTGTCTGCAGTGGAGCCTGTGGCTGGAGTGCTACAAAAGGCACATTCAAAAGTGTTGAGCTGTCAAATCTGGAGCTGAACAAGACCTTTTTGATTTTTTCAACACAGGACCATTGTTCCCAAATTGCCCAACCAAATGTCGAATATAAACTGCTACAAGAAAACCAATCCAGATGTTTACTTACATCCAAATTTATGCTAGCGATAAAAAGATAATTACAAGACCTCTTTGATGTCCCTCTGTTTTTACTTTTTCGTTTTTCCGTAGGTTTTTGTTATCATCAGATCTCTTGTGAATTTTTTGAAGGCCTGTGAGTACTGAGGTTACATATTGTAGTTGATTTTCTCCCCTTGTGAATATAAGTTGCATCACCTTGGCAGTCTATAGTATCCTTCTCCATCATGGAAAACATAATCAAAATCAACCAGAGCTAATATCCACTTCCAATGCTTAATTTTTGAAAAAATGCGTGCCTCTGGAACATGTGATGTAACATATGTATAGCACAACCGATCGCAAGAGGAAAAAGTCCACTCAAAATGATAAACGACACATACAAAGAATAGTATACTCTTTGACTAGTATATATATTCAAAAAATAAAGTTGCAACAGAAAAAGAGTCCACTCATAATGATAAAGTCTGCTCAAAATGATAAACAACACATACAAAGAATAGTATACTCTTTGAATAGTATATATATTCAACGAATAAAGTTGCAACAGAAAGAGTGCACTCATAATGACAAACACTTCATAAATATTTATACTACATGCAGGTACTGTCAGGCCCTATGGGGGTGAATAGGACAACTCGATTTTTCTTGTTCATTGATGTTTTCACTTCGAAGAAGTTCTTGTTAACTCTAAGGGCAATTTGGTCATTTTAGTATTTCACTTATTTGGGCATGTAAGCATAGGTGACCTAATGTGGGAGGGAAAGTCTGATTAGTCAAGTGAAAGACAGAATACTTGTTCAACAGCAGCTATTTGACCAGGACATAAAGTTGGTCAGCAGCCAGTCAACTCAGCCATCCCCTGTTCTACATTTAATGCTCTGTTTTGTCTCAAATCACTATCTAATCAATTCTAACAAGCATCAAACTTATGCATGTGCTTTCAAACATGATCTAACCTATAAATCAAGGATAATATCAATTGATAGCACACTTGATCAATCATGTTCAAATAATCATTTTCTCATAATATCAAGTCTATATGTATATATTCATAGATGATACACTTGATCAATTGAATATGCTACAAATCCCCAATACTGGTTTTCTGAAAAGCACGAAGGGTATCAAGTCCCCGAGGGTGAAAAGGCCTCAACGTTTTTCTCTAGAGATGGTTCATGAGTTGAGCCAGTTGTTGTCAATGTTTGATCATCATAGTTGATATGTGTTGCATTCTCGGGATTTTCCATACTCCTGGTTGGACTGAATATAAGTTGATTTCTAAATTAAAACTGTTTTAGAAAATACTGATTTACAAAGCACGCATGGCATGATCATGGTTTAAATTGTATTACAGTTTTCGAGTATTCTGATATAACTGTTACTATGGTTTCTTTATACATTATAAATGTACTGTTTTAACACCTTCATAGTGTTTGAGAAAACTTATCCTACTTGGCTAGTTGATCTCACCCCTATGTAGACTTTCAAGAGGCAAGATTGGATACGGAGGAGGTAGCCAAGGGAGATATACAAATTCCATCTTTCCAGAAGACATTTCCCATATCCCATCTTTTCTTACAAATCTAGCCACATTAGTTTGCAAAACAACCATGATGGATAAAAAGTTAACAAGTGAATATAGAACATACAGCCTATAAAGACAAAAAACAAGTAAAAAAGAAAAGAAACAAACAATTGAGATTGTGTATGAATAGCAAGGGCACTATTCTAGAGAAATAAGCATCTAGTGTAGAAACTAATATGGAAATAAGATAAAACACAAAATGGCATTATGGTAATGTGTATCAACAGATGAGGGCATAAAAGGGAAACAACTTTAAAACTAAACAAAGAATCTCAAGAATCAACTCCACCATTGTATACAGGCAATAGAAGATACACTATATCAGAGAATCTGCACCAAGAAAACTGTATGAAATGATAATTACGTAAGATTCCCCAAATAATGGAGCAGGTATTAACCACGGGGATTTTGCTTACCTTAAGTACAGAATCACTCATTAAAAGCTCTTCGGCCAATAACTCAAATTCTGACAAGGCATAATGTGCTAGCCCAAAGCTCAACTCTCCACCACTCAAGAGACTAATTTGTCCTTGGACCTAAATGGAGCAGCATAAGAGATGGCTGAATTAGATCCCCCTATGCAAGAGGACTATATCTCCAGAATACAGGTCTACTTAAGAACAGTACAGACATCAACAACGACATATCCAAAAGCTTGTAGTTGTAAGAACCCAAAATATTTTATCTTACAATGGCAAAGAAATATGAAAAATGATGGCATAGCCAAACAGGATGCACTTCAACATGCTTAAGGATGCATTTTCTCATGCCGCCTAAGCCAATCACTGATTAGCAAATGACATGGTAAATAGTCTTTCACCTTGGAATAGGATCTATAAGGAGAAGTTTTGAAACTAGACACAAAACAACAATAGAGATTATGGACACATTTCACCGACCTGGAGCCGACTCCAAAGTAAGGGAACAGCAGCTTTGGCCTGATTTTGAATATAAACATTTGTCATAAGTGGCTGATTTGGAAATTCCATAAGTAATGTGTCTGTATCTGTTGACTTGTTCTGATTGCTAACAATCAAGTTTCGTGGAATAGCATCATATACCGTCCCTGCAGCACCTGAGTTTTCTGGGCAGCCAAGACTACTACCTCCTGAAAACATGAAATGAAGCTCACATAGATCAAAATTTGCACAATGGCAATGATATTTTTAAATCCTTTTCCTAATCCTTTAGAAAACCATGCATAGCTAATATCCAGCACGCCAGTGCCGCAAGAACACTTCTTAAATATGTATTCGTCAAAGCAACTGAGTGCGCCAACTTATAAAACACATAATAAATATTCCCAATATTGCTATGATATGCACTAGATAGGAAAAGGGGCAATAGAAGTCAATATAATACTATCTCAAAATGCAATCATTAACAACAGCCGCAAATCCCACATATTCTGGATGGCACAAGCTCGCGTTGTTACATTTAGCATAGCTAAACAAATAAAGTGAGATTGAGAAGGAGTCACTTAGCAAAAAGGAGATTTATTCTATCCAAAAAAGCCAAAACAACTGCACTCTTCGATAATGGAAGAATATTACAAAGAGAAGACAGAAAAGAGATACAATACTGAGTACTGGATAACCTAGACAAAAAAAAAAAACAAAGTACACAATATAAGAAAATAAAACTTAAAGAGAATCGTCTTCCAATCATAGTTGTCAAATCGTGTATCAGAAAGTGTATCGTTTTTTTAAAATAATGTATCGAATCGTGCATCGTAAGATACACTCAATTTTAATTTTTAAATAATTATTAATAAAATATATGTATATACCATTATAAAAAAGTCATAGACTCATAATAACATAGTATTTCATTAATGTTCCACCAACTATTCAAGTTTCCAACATATTTCAGTAATATCAAAATGCAAAAATATCTAATTCAAACTTTTAACATTAACTGCTTGAACAATTTTAATATTAATCAAGAATTTTGAATTTAATTGAACAACATTAATATTAGATTTTATTTATTTTTTTGAAACTATAACCACTAAAACGATGTTGTTTCACTAGCTAGTGATTTAAAAATAAGTCATAGAGTAAAACGATATCATTCAACCCAAAAAAACAAAAAATAAAATAAAAAAATAGAATTGTCACGTATCAGGTGTATCGTATCGTATCGTACGTATCATATTGTGTATCGTACAATACGGTGAAAAAACGATACGGAGACATAATACGTATCGTTTTTCAAGTGTATCGTGACGTATCTTACAATACGTATCGCGTATCGTATGATACTAATAACTATGCTTCCAATCACTTAAAAACAGCTGCTCTTCTAACATTCTCTAAATAAAAAATGAACCTTTTTTTTCAATCAATGTTATAAACTTACTATCCACTGTAATTAAATTATAGAGTAATTCAAGAACACCACATAAGCATGGCAGACCAGATTCTTACATAACAAGCACATCATGATTGGCACAAGAAGCCTCCTAATTATATGGCAAAAGAACACATCATCCATAATATTTAACCCTTTAATTTGAGCTTCGAACATCAGTAGCGGAAGCGCAACAACATTCAGTATATTTAACATTCAAAGTTTTCTACCACATGATAGTAGTTGGAGGGCAGGCGCGCCCCAACCAACCTCTCTTGAAATGGCTGTGTTTGGGATTGGGAGGGGGGGAGAAGTGGGGATGTTGAAATTCAATCCAGGTATTGGCAGTGTCGGAATGATCTTCTCCTGCCCCAGCAACCTCTATAAATCAACTTTTTTCCTGTTTTTACTCCATTGCTGCGACAGTCTAGGACAAGGAAAGGGCAAACAAAGAAAAGAGAAGTAAAAGTTTCAAAAGCATCAGTAAGCTCTCTTTCCCGCTCCCGCTCCCACTCCCATTCCCATTCCCCCCTGCCCCCCCCCCCCAAAAAAAAAAAAAGAAAAAGAAAGACATGTGTGCACCCAAATCCCCTGGCATTGACACTAGTTCTAGGATTTTCTTTTATGGAATTTTAACTGATAACGTCCTGTCCTACCATATTTTTCACCTTGACATGCTGTCACTCACATCCAGAACATTTGCTTAGATTCTTTTCTCTGCAATGGTGGGCTGACGATAGATCTGCCCCATCCTGGATATTCCCGCAGCAGGAAATAAATTTGATTAGTCACAAGAGATCAGACGAATAGCTTTCTGAAATTCTAGGACACCACAAAATTCAGGTCTTGGATGTAAGTTTGACGACAACCAACAGACACGCATGGTTAGAAAAGCTGCTAAAGAAAGTGGAGGGAAAAAATAAAGATATGTACAGGGAGGGAATTCATCAGCCGATAACTACAACTATATAAAGCAGGAACCTATCACTACTCGAGAAAAGGGACAAGAACCGTAAAATTCAGACTTCCTACAGTTGATTCCTCTTGGTTTCACATAGAAGGCCCTTAGGCCTAACGGCAGTAACCTCCACTCCAACTCAAAATCTGCAGGGTAATCCAGAAACAAAACTTCCCAATTCAGGTAAAAGATTCATTCACTGCTACTTATCCCCAAAAGAATTTTGAAAAGAATAAAACATTGCCACAGGCCTCCTCACATGAGCTCCATAAACTGGTTGAGTAAACTCGTCCATAAAACCTAAAAGATCACCCAAATGAAATATCAAAGAAGAAAAAGTCTTGAATTGCGTGCTTTTGACAAAAATATAACTCTTCAATTTATTGTGAGCATTATCGAAAATAAACACGACTAATGCTGTCTCCTGTTCTGAAAAAGATGAGTTTGCAGAACTATATAAAGGCTACAGGGTGCTGATTGTGCACGGACCTACTATGTGGCAATTATTTAAACAAAGTGGCTACCCTCAAATCAATGATCAAAATTTCTTTTTTCTGATACTTTGTTTCGGTCAAAGGAAACGTTTCGAAAACATTTCAGAAACAGAATTGAAGCCAATAAAAAATTGGAAACTCATTTACAGAACATTTCGAAATATTGGGTGAAGTATACAAATACATCTTAAAAACACCTCAAGCCATTCCGAACTATTGGTAGAAAAAATGTCAAAACACCTCAAGACATTCTGGAACACCTCAAACCATCGGAATTTTGATTCAATCACTAGTTCATTTTGGTATCCTTAGAAACGAAAACGTTTCGGCAGTTTCAAAACAAAATTGTGATCCTTGCCTCAAATTCGTAAGCTCACAGTCGTCAACCCAACCTTCTACCGCTGCACCAGTCACTAACCTCTAAATGAGAAACCACAAAACTTTTCTCCCTAGTCTCAATTACGCATCATAGGCTACCTATATAGATGTTTATGATAAAGTTAATACTTTCATTCTTTACATATACAATTATTTGCAGAGAAACTCCAAACAAAGCGGAGGCAAAATAAAATAAAAAACAAATTGCATTCTTAAGAAAAAATTAGGTTCATGTAATATATTAGATTGTGTGGATAGACGAGTGGGAAGATGGCTATTTTTTTCCATAAACCAAACTTGAAACGGAAGCAAATCACGTAACAAGTCCTACCATGAGCAAAGAGTTGTGGGTCATCATGCCGGCTAAAAACATCGACAGAAATTCTTCCACCACCCCCACCACCAAAGCCATTACCTCCACAAGCACTGATCCAACCACCTCCAATCCTGCACTTCACAAGGAAACGTTGGTTTGAAATATGTATTTGCATAATCTGCATATAACGCATAGTGTACATGATACAACTATATCATGGTGGACTATGCACAAAGCAATACCTCATTCCATGAACAGTTCATACAAAAGAATGACATAATTTTGAGCATATCTTTCACGAGTACCACATGAACGTGCATAAACGCAAGAAGCTTATACATGAAGGTATATCCAAAAAAGGGAAAGCAGAAAAAAACTTAGATGCCACAATGGATTTAAACACTGGCTCAACATTCGCTGATGACTGAACAATCAAGACATTCCATGGGCTAATCCCGAGACACAGCAAAAGACACAAGTGCAAGCAAACTGCAGCCGAACCTGTGATGGATGTCTATCAAAGATATCAAAAGGCAAAAGCCAAGGTGGCCAGTGATACCCAGTATGCTATCCACCCGTCGGGCCAGCCTAGCCACTAAAGTGTAACTCAATGGCCGCACACTGAGGCAGGGTAGACTAGCCTAGTCCCAGCCCCAACCCATGGGCATTTATTTTATATTTTTAATTTGTTTAAAATATTCAATAACCTATTTATTACTCTTATGCATAGAAACTGATTATATAAAAACGAATATTTTTCATGTAAAAGTGTCTGTTCAAGCCCGGCCAGTGTAAGGATCAGAACATTTAGTCCCAAGCCTTGGCCTAGAACATTGGCAAGCAATTTTTTGGCCTATGGGTCTGGGCAAAAAGGCTGGCCAACCCCCAGATTTTCGAGCCAGTTGGGTAGCTTGGCCCATGGCCACCCTATTATTCAACACATTAGGCAAGCCCTAGGTGGAGAGCCCAAACCACACCCACCCACAACTCCCTTTTACCAAATAAAACACAAACTGATGCTCTTATCCCCACTCAAAACAACCAAAATAAAAGGCCCAGCTGAAATCATTTGAGCTTCCGAACAGAAGAACTTGTCTCAAGGTAGTCTGAAGTTTTACCAATGACATGACAAAGTGAGTCAAAAAATTCGACTAGAAAGAGAAGCAGTACCGCATACTCATATTCAACATATTCCTCAAACTATGGTGATGTAATCCATAAAATCAAGTTATATAGAAGTCCTACTATTGGGTAGATGTCACCATGGGTTCAAAATGTAAATAGGAAGGGCGGGCCTAGTCGAGAAGTATCAACCGTAAATCGCGTTGTCAAGTTATTTGCTATAGGTTGAATGTCTAGATCGCATTGTCAAGTTATTTGATATGGGGTTCTAAGAGATATACCTACTAGACATTCAACCCATAGCAAGGCCACTATAAGAATGCAAATCAACAGAACAAGCAACATGGCAACCCTCCCCCCTTTCGGCTAGCTTTTTACATCGAAAGTAATGGTTTTTGACATTTAAGAATGAGGTCGTTGTAGGGATTTTATGCCAAATCCTAAAGCACCTGAACACCAGAAATCCAAGGAAGCATATCTGCAAAAATCTAGCTCTACAATGGATCTCATTTAACCAGTCTACAAAAATAATAGGGTGAACAAGTAAATCTAAATTAGCACCTGCCCTTAAGCTCGCTCACCATGAACACAAATCTTACAAAAATATGAGATCCCCCGACACCTAAAAAACATTATGGAAAAAATCTCCCACCACCTCAAACAGATTAGACGAAAAGTTGTTTGCGTTTTGATAGCCACAAATACATCCAATATCTGACCAAAATTCTTTTAATCGCGACCATCCATGGTAAGACCACCTCTACAAGAAGCAAGCCAAGGAAGCCCATATAGGAGACAACTACTGCTCTCCAATATCCTCTAATAATGTGAAATGATTTGTATCTAAAAACTCCCTAGAACCAAGTCCCCAAATGAATGCAGTCGCTAAAATCCCACATGGCAATAACATGAGGCCCTCACTTCTATCACAAATATGCTTATATTCCTCTAAAAAATACCACAAAAGAAACAAACAAATATAGCCTAGAATATATTACACTTGCACAACTTTATTCATAGATACACCACAAAATCAGAAGTACCATCCAACCCAAACCAATCGGTAATTAGTGGAGTGGCCAATTGAGTCATTGTAACTATGCTATCTTCACACACCCCCTCAATTTCAAGCCGGACTCGCATGTAGGCTAACAAACCAAACTGAAAAAGGCATATAAAGACCAGATAATTCACTTGAATAAGAGGTTTTATCCATCCAATGCCCAACTCTGATACTATGTTAGAATATCCAATCCAAAACTGTTAGAGTAGATGTTGAACTAACATCTACACTAAAAACTTAAACTGTTAGAGAGGGTATAATTAAAATATTTATAATTCAATGCATTGCCTCGCGTGCAGCTTACATCTTGAGCCTAATGTGCAAAAGTCTTTTTAATTATCAGAATAAGAGTGAGATTCAAACATAAGAACTCCTATTTTAATACCAAGTTAGAGCATTTAGCCCACAATCAATAGGTAATAGGTGGAGTGTTCCCCCAAATATATAAACCAACACTGGTCTACTTAATTTTCTAAAGTGGGATATCTCTCCTCACACCAATTAAGCTAAGAAGCACGGAAATGGACATGGATACGATACAAAAAAAGTAAGACACGGACACATTGAGGACACGTTATAAATAATTGTGTTTTATATATAAAATTATATAATTTATCACAAATATAGTGAAAATGATATATTATTATTAAAAGATTCAATATTTTATAATAAGTAAATGTTATATCCAGTCATTTAGTGTGAATATTTACACTAACATCATAATAATAAATAATTATCAATTTTTTCTTAAACGTGTACTATACATATATACTTTAAATGATTACTTTCATTTCAATTGCTTTTTTCTCAATCTTTGATGTATCTTTTACTTTTATTATTATATTTTGAGTACAACTTTGACATTTCTAGTCTTGGTAATTAAATGCTCTCTTATAGTATCAAATCCTTAATAATCCAATTTTTAAGCTTGTTACTCACTTTTGTTTATTTTTTAATATAGTCGACATGGTTTAAAGAAATGTTAGACAAGTTACCAAAGAAGTGTCGGACACGTGTCCTAAATTAAATTTTATCATTTAATTATAGACACGAATAAAAGAGTATCGAACACGTGTCTGAAAGTATTTGAAGAGTGTTGGTGTCTGACATGGACACATCACCTACTTGAGAATATTCGTGCTTCATAGTAATTAAGAATCAAATTCCACCTTTTAAACTAAAATACTGCATAAAAAAAAAGATAAATCACATCACAAGATGGACATTGAAGGTCAGTTATTATTGTCCTGCTAAGATACTCAAAAATACGAAAAGAACCACCTTAATCTAATGCATACGAGTAGCAATTCCGTGCAATACACATAATTCACTTCTCATCCCCTTCCACCCTATTTTCCTTCCCATTCTCCTCTCAATTATTCTACCAATTAAGAATTTAGAAAGTTGAATGAAAAATTATTAAAAGTTCGTGTGATAAAATGTGATTTTTTTAAAGAAAATTGAATGAGTAGTTATTAAGTAAGAAATACTCGTGCCCGATACGGTATGATACGAACACGGGAATACAATAAAGTTCAAAAATATTGGACACGAGTATGACAATAATACAACTAATTAAAATAATATAATATATTTTTTTAGATAATAATAGAATTATAATATATTAAAAACAAAACATATTTTAAAATAATATTAATAATAAGACTATTAAAATTGAAATAGATCAAAATAAACATCCACCATTTTCATTAAATATCATTACATCCATTAACATTTATAGTATACAAGTTACATAACAAAAACCACCCAAAATTTTTTTTAAAAATCACACCTCTCGTAATAGTTAATACTCATTTAAAAAAAAATCATAGTCATGTCTAACTAAGTTCACTATTCAAGACATTACACTTCTAGCCGTGTCGAACAAGTGTCAGTCGTGACCGACGCGTGTCTGTGTGTCCGACACTGTCACGGCACCCCTTAAGAAATATCTATGCTTCCTACGTTATTAGATAGTTAGTATGACCACATGGTGCTATGGGATTGGTGTATATGTATTAAAATAAAATAAAATTCTAACAATTGAGAAAATGTAGAGGGATGGCTACTCAAGTCCTCTCTCAAACAAAATAATCGTTATATATAATAGTATAGATAGGTCTATGAAACTACTTATCTATGTATCTCCTTTAGTTTACCACAACCTTTTTAAAAGTTTCCTGGAACTCATGTTTTCCCAATATATCCAAAATTTATAAGTAAGAAGCAATGTTTATCGATCGATAACTGATAAACAAGCCTACATATGTGCAAGAGACAACAAATTATGGAATTACAAGAAATGGAGAAATGTGGAACTCAAAAATAATTGGGAAGCATTTCTTGCTACTTTCCACCCGCATCTAAACAAAGAAGATGCCCCTCTTCTCCTCTCCTTTCTATCAAACAGTGAAAATTGCATCCATCCCTCCTCCTTCTTCCCACCAATTCCTCCGACAATTTGAACATGTGGCAAATGCCACTTAGGGAGTTGATTCACATAAAGTGTTTTACGCAACAACTGACAAGACAAAGATTGGTTCCAAACTTAATTTTTTATATTGAGAACTGTTCCAATATTTACCTCAAAAAATTGACACGAAATGACAAAGTGCATTATACTTAAACTTTCTGAACATATTGTTGAACAACAAATAAAGATTTCAATCATTGGAAAAACTAAGCAAATAGACAAGAAGTGACAGTCCAACAAGAATCAGGAATTTCCTAAAAACACAAAAGGTCAACAATAAAAAATTAAAAAAAAAAAACCCACTAGAAACTATTGAATGGCATTATGAAAAGCCTATATCAATCATTGGAAACAAAAAAAATAAAAGAAATAGAATAAGACGCGAAAATCAGATAACAATCAGGAATTTTGCTTTAAAGTTGGAAAAATAAAAAATGCCAATTAGAGATAATGCAGTCCACCCACCCAACAGAAAAAATCCATCAGAATCACAAATTATAATTGTTTCTCTATATATACAAGCATGTCTTCTCTTTCGGCGTTGGCAGCTATCTCGTAAGTAAAAGGGGCTAACTTAAATTTATTTGGCAGACTCTGAATAAGTACCTCTGGGTCAACCACACAATTCCAAAGACAACCTAAGCAGCTAAGCCCACTACATGGACTACAATATTATGATCCTATGTTCCAATAATTACATTATACTTTTAAAAGAAACAGATACATAAGGTCCAACATTTTGTTACCTAAAAAGTGGAAATCTTACATCTGAGTTACAAAACTGTAAAATATCACCACGCTCCATACTTCAGCACAAACAACACATATCTTCACTTACTATTAAAAATACAGAAATAGAATTATGAGGAATTTCATACACCAAAATAAATTACATGGCAACATGTACACAGTAACAGAGCCAAGTTTGCGAGCAATGATAATTCTTCATTCTAAATTTAAATCAATTAAAAAGTAAGGAAGAAACATTACATCCTATAAGCTTTAATGAAGATGCTCCCACCAGACCCACCTCCCCCTTTGGTACCCCCATCACCTCCATCAGCCAACAAACTCCCATTCACCTCAAGAAACCTGTCAACCACCAACATAATCCTCCCACCACCGCCACCACCATAATCAACTTCCTTGCTGGTAGTCCCGCCTTTACTTCCATAACTCCACGGCCTCTGCAATGTTGACCACGAATACGCATCCCCACCCCATACATCCTCCTGAAGCTTCTCTTTATCCATCAAACAAGCTGCCCCCCTTCCCCCATGTCCACCACCAGCCCCATCAATCCCCTGTGGCGTCCCACTCGTCTGGGGTGGTGGCGACCCTGCCAAAGCTGTAGTATTTACCGTAGACCCATTACCAAAACTGGCATTAGTAGCCACGAGCTCAAATGTTCCAGCAAAAATAGAAGCATTTTCACCCAAACTGAAACTACCAGTAACATTTATAGCGAATTCACACCCGGAAAATGAACAATATACACTAATATTCGGGAGGATATAAAAATCGCCCTTCCCTTCTATGTACACGTTTCGTGTGAGGTTCAAATCTGAGACTATTTCGCAAGTGGTATCGAGTGTGCCGATTCCGCTGAGGTCGTCCTCGCATGAGACTGACGGAGGGTGCGGCGCTGGCGGAGGCGGCGCTGGCGGTGAGTAATCTTGGTGGAAAAGACTCAAATCGAAGTCTGTTACAGACAATTCATCATCCAAAGCCGACACAATACATACAGGGTACAATAAGAAGGTAGGGCTCGCCAAGAGGGTTAAGAGTAGAGTCAAACGAAGAAAAGAAGGAAATAATGAAGCCATTTACTGCTGATACAAGTCATTACATAGAAAAATAATTCGGATTAGGAGTGGATTTCATTGGAAAAGTGTTGAGGAAGACCGTGAAAAAAAAAAAACATAGAAGGACCTCTCTCTCTCTCTCCCCTGTATAGATACAGGTTTCTGTAAGTATATGCAGAGGAGTAAGTTTGGGGTGGAGCGAAACCCTAGAAAAATTGGAATTGCGAAAAACCTCGTGGGGAAGGAAGGTTGCTTCGCTGTCCTGCTAAAAAGATTTTGGAGGGAGGGAGAGAGAGAGAAATGAACGTAGGTCGGTAGGAGGGAGCCGAGAGTGACGGGGTTGGGGTGCGGCTTCTGGGTTTAATTAATGAGAATGGTATAAGTCCTCCATTTCCAAATAAGAAAAATGATAAATTATACTTTCCACCCCCTTAATTATGACTATTATTTTTCACATTATCTTTTTAATTATCATATTTTTTACATTATACATTTAACCATGTGATTAGTCATTGTCCCAATAATTCACATCCACCGTAAATTTGACAAAAAATTATTTCACTTTATCCTTCACTTTATCTCGACACACCAATAACTTTTTGTCATAAAAATAACAAACGTTTGTGTTTGCACAATTTCAATTCAAATTTCGCTTGTTAATTTGTAAATAAATTTATATTAAATTAAACTTGAACAAAACTCTAAACTCGATTTTCTAGTTAAACTCGAAAACCACTTAGTGAGTTACAAATCAAATCTAATTTGAATAAACACAGGCTCGACCATTTCTATTTGATTAAGACCCCTACTTACTACCATGTCACATCCAAATCGTGTATTATAATTAAATAATTAAAATCGACATTACAGCAATCCCGAATTTCAAAATTCATCATATTGTGAAATCTATGACTGTGACATTGCAACTGAAAGTTTGAGTGAGGCTTGCTGTCAAGCTATGATTGTAAGGTTGGATTAATTTGTCAATCACACGATCTATGCATGTGAGGCTTGGATGTGAAGCTGTTGTATTTTAAGGTTGGATTAATTTGTCAATTTGTGTGCGTGTAGGAATATTCGTTGGATTTATTAGGAAAAAAAGCTTTTGCGTGTTCGGTTTCGTACCACGTAAACCCATTGGCATTAATTCGGAAACCCTTGTACCTCTCAAAGGACAAAACGTCTTTTTAATACTCGGATATGGGTCGGGTACTTGGGTTGAGTTCATAACCCGACAGTATTCTAATGTCACTTGGAAAACTTGAACGTGCTATCAAAATTCATTACAGTTGATTAAATATATTAGCATGATGGTACAATTAAAAAGCTACTCGGAGTAAATATTCAATATTTAAGTCATACATGTTATAATCATCGTGTCATGTTATCGGGCAATAATACACAAATAAATAGAACAAGTAAACATCACTAATTCTTCGTGTTAGCTATTGAATGTGAAACTGTTCAACTCATATATTGACTCATTTAGAGTGTGTGCAATTAGATTCATATTAAGTGGGCTTTTATCGGTCTATATTTTAGTAAATTTATCCTTTATCATTCAATATACTCATTTCAAAATCAAACGGTTAATTTGGTATTAGATTCGTGAATTATACTAAAAAATATTAGACCTACGGTCTATTGATGAGGTGGCAACTTTCTAGTGGTTAGATTATCACCAAAACATTCTCTAGTAGTAATTCATATTAAATCATTCATTAGCACAATTTTAGGATTTATAGTAAGGTCATCATTTGCTCATTTGCATTATCATATTTTCATGTGTTTCCACACTTCTATACTACAAAAATTAGATTAAGAGAGAGAATGTTTGGGAAATGTTTCCTCCTCAAATTCTATTTTTTTATAATTTTAATGTATTTAGTAGAGATGTATTGATCTCCTTCGATTGAATTCCATTAAGGCAATAAAATGGCATGTAACCACTTTTAACTTTTTATTAACTACTCTGTATTTAAATTGCTCATCATTTTTATTTAAACGATTCACATTTTAAATTTAACTTAATTGCACTAGAGGTCCTCCATGTATAGAATTTATCTCGTTTTAATTCATAATATTTTAATTATATTTTACTTTTTGAAATATTGAATATATTTCTATGTGGTCTCTTAAGCAGATAGCGTTTATATTGTTAAATATTTTTTATTATAAACTTGTCACGTAATACCTAAATAGGGGTAAAAAAATAATAATTTAGATAATCGATGACCAAAATTTTACCCAAATTTTGGTAAAAGTGTTATGCATCAAGTTATACAGTTTTGATTGATTGCGAGCTATCCATATTAGTAAAGTGTTATCCATATTACACATTTTTTGTTAAGTGTTAGCCAAAATTTTAGTCAAGAACTACCTAAAATAATTTTTACTCATATTTAAGTATTACGTAACAAGTTTATGATAAAAAATTATTAATAATTCGAATGTTTTTTGTTTGAGAGGTCATATAAAAAAAATTTAATACTTAAGCAATTAAAATATTAAAAACTAAAATAAATAAATTATATACTTTGAACACTTCCAATATAATTAACCATCACAATGTTTTAGTAAGAATGGTACAAGAGAGATGTTAAAATTGTGTGCATTGCACGGGACGACAACTAACATCTATTACATAAACTAATAGACTAGTGTTTGATTATCAAAATTGTGGGGTCACATTTTGCGGTGGGACCCCATTTTTGTCATATGATTTGCCATTTTAATCCGTTTTCAATCCGCAAAACGTTAGAAATTGGAATGCTTACCGACGAAGACAACCTGTAATTTATCATCTGGCGGCTTCTTTTATAAATAAATAAATATTCATGCCCTCCCTCATCTTATTAAAAATAATTTTTGCTACCCCCTCCCTTTCTCCCTCTCTAGCTTCAAGAACACATCAGAATAATTTATCATCTGCACGTTGGGGACAAAGTTTGGTGGTATCGAAAAAGAAATTGGATATGTTCAATTTCAATATTTGGATTTTAGTATTTATTTTAATGTTATTTTCTTATTTATGAGTTTTTAATTATTTATTTGGATTATCTGATTAATAAGTTTTTTGTCATTAGGGAACAATTCGAAATTTTTTTTTTAAAAAATTGTTTTTTCTTGGAAGCACTGGAATAAATCTTATTTTTTGTTGATGCTGATAAAAGTTATTTTTATCCAAATAAATTGATGAAAAATCGCTCAATAAATTCGGGTCCAAAATGAACTAGACTTCTTTTCATTTGAATTCTCTAAAAACTGAAGTTTTTAGCTACTTCCAAATAGGTTCATCGCCATTTTATCTTAATTGAATTTTGTCTAAAATAAGATTTTTGTGGTGAGTACCTCGAATGTCGAAAATTTTAAAATAAACTGAAAGTGATGATGTGGGCAAATTCTCATTCTTTAAAAATAATTTGGTGTCTCTGTTTAGTTCACAAGAGGCATAAGTACCTTTGAAAACATCAACTACAAGAATGACATGGATTTCATGAGTTGGAAAGTTCATAACCAACCTAATCTCGATGAAAAAAAAACCTATAAACAACTATATCAACAGCCTCACTACAAGCACAAGAAGGAAAGTTAATTACATCTCTATAGACAGATACAAGAAGACCGAACTACTATGTGACATAAAAATTAGGAAGGAAAAATAAGACACTACTACTAGTGGAAGTCTAGCTAATGCTTTGGTGGATGTGGGCCATCCAACAAAAAGTCATTTTCAGAATCCCTACTTTCGAAGTAAATGTCCATCTTATATGACAGAGGTCAACTTTTTCGAAATCCAAGAAATTTTGACTGAATTACTACCCCAATTGGAGTTTGATTTGTGTACATTTGGCGCTATGTTCCCTTAATGTTGACATTTATGCATGTTTTAGAGCATCAAGAACACAACTGTAAGGTTTTGAAAGTAGACAGTTTTGTCTGCCAGATAGCGATATTCCAGACAGATCATAGGATTTTCCTCATGTGTGTTAGCTAGGAAATTGAAGTCCTCATGCACTGTAATGGATCCCAAAAACTAGAAAATGCAATGTGATTAGCAGACTCCAATTGGAGTTGAGAGCAGATTCTGAGCTGTGGCCACTGTAGTATCTTGAAAAAAAAGGATGTAAACAGCTCTTACCCCACGGGCTCAAAAACTATTTTCATGATTTAAACATGTGAGACCTGAATTACAATTGAGCAACCTTACAAAGCTTATCCACGAAAACAAGTTTCTACTTGTGTTAACGCAGCTTTTCCGTCTATTGCTTCAAACATCAGAGAAAGAAGACAAGAACCCCCTGGCTGCAGCACATACAGCATCATGCATCGAAAGTAGAGTGCCCAGAAAGCAATTTGTTTCTAACAGCATGCTCAAACACAAGTCACCCTATGACTAGGCCAAATGCCCACAGGTCTCCCAAGGCTATGTAGTAGCTGGAACCTCGTGCATACAGCTCTTTATATCATTTCTAAAATCAGGGCAAGACCAGAAATGAAAATACCAAACCTCTAATTTATTGGTAATTCAGTACAACCGAAGCAAAATCCGAATCCAATATCAAATTAGATTGTATGTTACTCTCAGCTTGTTATCAGAAGCTACAAGGCCAATTTACAAGTAAATGCTATATGACTTTCTGAAATTAAAAAAACAAAGTCCTGCCCTGATTACTATCAAATAAGCTGTTTGAAATGAGAATAATCAGGAGGCAGGAGAGAAAGAAGGGTGATCAGAAGTCAGAACCCCAAAACTCCCCTAAAAACTTGAGTCAATACTAATGGCGACACTCCCCGCTCAAAGAGAATTGCTGAATCATCAGCCTATTGCATGTTATTTCCAAAGCCCATTTCTGGAGATGGGTGTCATGGTAATTCAGTTTCTTCAGTCTCATTTCGATTAAGTGTGTTGGTGCTTCCAGTGCTGATTAATATAGATGGCTCTAAATGAAGGAGTTTCCAGGAACAAAGAATTGCAGCTCGACCCCAGTATCTGGTAACACAGCCATATTGGACTTATTGCAACTGCACATACAAGTAATGGCTTAGATTTGAGAGGGTTTCTTCATCTCTTAGTTTTGTTAAGGCTCTTCGTTCTATCTTCCTTATCCATTCTTTGCTTACATTGAAAAGCCTCCCAATCTCCTCAAGTGACTTGCGTTGATGGTCCCCAAGCCCAAATCTTAGAATCAACACTTGCCGCTCTCTTGGATCCAATCCTTTAAGAAGATCATAAATGTCTTTTATCATATGTTGCCTCATGACATGTTCATTGGGGATCTCCATTGACGTATCAGGTATAAGTTCCTGAGTTATAAAATGTTTCAACACATTGTAACACACAGAATCATGTGGCCGAAATATTTTTAGCTAATGCATCTATGAGTTACAAAAGCAAAACAATTACACACAATCTTCATTCCTCAGATTCAGCCTGGCTCTGTGGGCTATTGCTTTTTCTGGAATTAAAAAGGGGGCTCCCCCATAGGGGAAAACAGACCTTTGCGCAAGAAAAAATGCTTTTATTGTGCAAAGTTCTTAGGAAATACACAGAAACAAAATTCTTTAAATTGAAGAGTGAACACAATGGTCTTCTTTTTAGTATGTGAGTTTAACTCATTCCAATATTAGAAAATAATCCAAATACTAAGCTTCTTAAAATTTAAAAGCAAACATGAAAGAGCATAAAAGCAATGAGATAGTAAAAGTTGGAGTTCCCAAGTATGCCGTTGTGGACCAACATACCCAATGATTAGACGACACTTAGTTGCCAATGAGTCAGTGGGGGCAATCAAGTGCAGTCTTGCCTTCCTCCGATAAGCAAGAGTGGTAAAAGTGCCAGGCAAACAACTCACAACAATGACCCTTTATCCTCTTTGTTGTATCCTAAGTGACTAACAAACTAAAGATTCTGTAGAATCTATGATTCAAATCAAGCCTGTGAAGCTCTATTTCAATCAGCCATTTATATATGCTCACATGAACTAGACGCTACAAAAAATAGAATATGAAAGGATGCAGAAAATAAAAGACCGGTCATACCAAAAACTTTGCACTGGTACAATCCCCCACTTTCCGGTCAACTGAACCCACGACCCTTAGGCATTTGCTAGCTGAAGTAATTTTAGCGAAGGATAGACCAGTGAACTTTTCAATTTCATCATCGTCTGGGCATTTCCCATGGATGTTACTTAGCATCTTTCGAGCTTTCTGTATCTGATTTATGGCCTTGCTTAATGTTACCTACATGAAAATTCAAATAGAAAAAAAAATAGAGTAAGTTCTGGCTACCAGTAAGATGAAATTTATTGAAGAAACAACTTAAAAGGATGTAAAATACATACAGGAATTCGAATCCCTCTGGCATGCTGTGCCATCAACGTTGACATTGATTTTCTTATCCAGTACTGGACATAGGTTGAGAATTTGTACCCTCTAGTGTGGTCAAACCTTTCTGCACCTTGCAAGACACCAAAGTTTCCTGCCTGACATAACCAAAATCATGATGTGAAGGTGCTTTTTGGCCGCAAACTCACTGCTATATCTTTAATGCAACTTTTTTCCTTTCAATGCAATTTTTGGAGCTATGAATCGTAACATGAAAGATCAAAGCCTTGGTCATTGACTGATCTCTATGGGTAGTTGACAAAAAATCCATTGACCAAATTATATATAAATTAGGTAAACTTGATTCCTACCCATTCTCCTCCTTCCCCTCACCCACAACTGTTAGTATTTCAGTTTTTCTTTTCTACGTGACTCACTTTAAAATTGAAAAATTACCAGAAAATTATGACCACCCAAGGCACCTAGTTATTTCCCCTTATCGCCTTTCTGTAATGGAGATGCAGGAGGGTTTCTACACTGGGATTTTGACAATTTCTTACAGGTAAATTTGGTACACAGAGAGAGAGAGAGAGGGCTGGGAAAACCACCTAACTAGAAGTTGTTCTTTAGCTTTTAAGTTCCTAGCTGAATATGCACCGCTGATACTCTCCAAGTTTATGAACACATTGCAGAAGAAAAGTAATAATTATTTCAGCACAAAGAAGATAAACACCTCACAAAATGGTTGCATGAGATGACCCGAGTACATAAATAAGATTACTATGGCCCTTTAAAATCCCAACTATATGCAATGCACCAAAGTTGCATACGTCTTCCACTCTATAGCAATTGCTCAAAGCTTGCAAAACCTAAAAAACAATATGCAAGATTTAAGAACTAGCAGATATGATATCAGAAGGGCAAGGATGCTTCTTTTCTCAGATGATATAGCTGATTATATTTTACCATTCCTTTCCCTTTTTTTCTTGGAATTTGAGTAAGTTTTTTCAAATTACCTTTTAAGTTATGTTTCCACCTTTTAATGGAATTTTTCCTGTTGGTTTCTGATCCAAACTTTGTGTTGGTAAAATTCCCAATCCAAACTTGTGGATGCTGGCATGTTATCCATGGAAAAAAAACCTTCTCTGAAAGTGGACAACTAAAATATAAAGAAAAGCATGCACACTAGCATATTGCAATACATTCAACCAACCTGAATTATATCTTCAAAGGCCACTCCCAGTCCCCTGTAGTTTCTTGCAAGGTATATAACTAAGGATCTTGTACTTCTTAAAAGCTCATCCCTGCAATCCCAACCAAAATGCAAATGCTCCTGCAATACCTTCTTGTCAACTCCAGCAGCTTCTGCCCAGTTACTCAAGCTAGCTATTTGCCCTGTTTCCTCTTCCACTATTTCTCTGATTCTTTCCAAGTTTGCAACCAACTGTAACATAATAAAATATATCAGTAAGAAAGAAAACTGAAACATAACAATCAAGTATGAATTCTACATTAATAGAAGTTTGAGACAACCTTAACCCCTCTCGACATTTCTGCCACATTCTTAGCAACTCTAAGTCTTCTATTTCTGGAGTTTGCTGATCTTCTTACTGAAGAAAAGTTAAACTGTTGGGGGTCTTTACGATTGTATTTTGAGGGCAATGGTAATGAACATACATTTTTTGCCTTTTTTGATGTTCTCTCTCTTCTTAATTTTCTTTTCCCCTTCTTACCAGAGCGAACAACAATCTCAGTCATGTGTTTATCCAAAGCGTTATTCATCCGATGTTCTTCACTAAGCACAGGTGGCACATCAGACAAGTCAAATAGAGTGGGGTAATTAAGTGCCTTGGAGAGACATGTATGGAATAATTTCAGAGCTCCAAGCCTTTCTAATTGCCCCAGAATATCTCTTTCCAACCTTACCACGTCTGAGTCAGCAAATGTCTCCTCCAACATGACAAGATTTTCCATCAATAAACTGAAATGTGATGCTTTGCTTGTTTGTAAGTTTGTTATCAATACCAATTTATCCTCTGCATTGGGTGCCTGGATATTATTTTCAACCATGTTATATAAGCAACGGCGGGACCTCTTGCCAACATTCATCTGAACGGTCAGAACTAAAACGAAGTTAGTTCATTTTAAAGCATATGAAAGTGTAACGAACTGTACACACTTATATACATTAAAAATAAAAGGAAACCTTTATTTCTTCCATTTCTGAGTAATCATTGCTCAAGGTTTGTGAAGCGGATGAACAAGCATGTGCTTGCAGAGGATCATTGTACAAAGTCTCACTATCTCCAGAAATAACAGGTGGGAAAGATGCCCTTGCAGAGTCACAGAACGGCCCCCAGCCTTTAATTGTATCATTTCAAAAATCATAGTAAATAATAGAACATAACTAGTGAACTGAACAAACACGGCAGAAACTCAACATGTACCATATCACACACCGTGCAGGTGGACTTACAAGTCCATCATAGGTATTATATAACCACATAAAATAGAATGCAGTGGCATTAGGAGATAGGAGAGGAGAAAGGAAACCATCAACAGTGCAAATTTTAATAGAAGTATAGGACCATGTAGGCATCAGAGTTTATAATCACATCCATCAAAAGTATGCTTGGAAAAATTTACCACAAAGACTAAACTACTGCTAATTTCACAACAAATAGTTGACCTTACACTGACTTCATTGCCAACCCAACTTCAAATTTATAACTATTAGCCAGACTGCACTGGGTAAGAAAAACTCAATAAGTTCGGATTGAGTTTATCTGAGAAAACTCAGTAGCTCCTCCAAACTGGAGTCTTCTCATTCCATACACACAAACATGTATGAAAAAATCTTTCAACTTGGCAATGACTACAAAAAGGATCCCACTAGTAATCTTTACAAGATCTAAGTGCATCTAACAACGTTTATGGGGGAACCAACTTGATGAACTTCTGTTTCTCCATTAGCATCACCTTATTCAATAATTACCAACTTGGGAAGCAAATTTAAGGCTTATTCAGTTTATGTAATGAGAAATGCGATCAGATCGCACCGGAAGCAATCTGCTGAACTATCTGTGCCGCAATGAAATTGTTTGCAATAGGGAATTGGAAAAGAAGAGTCAAATCATAACAACTGCACATGAAATAAATTTTTATGTACATTATAAAACTCAATAGAAAAACATTTAATTATGACAAATATGAATCAAAACATGGAACTACCCACCCAACAGATTAAGATAAATACTTTGAATAAACAAAACCATCACCCAGTACATATCAATCAAGTGAAAATAAAAGAGCATAACTTGAAGTAGAACAACAAGGATAGTGCACTCACAGGAATATGAGGAAGGCCAAGGAGATGAGTTGGTGAAGGAAGGTGATTGAACTGAAAACCCCCATTTAAGATTCAGCCTAAAACCCATAACCAAAGTGTTTCCTGGAGTCCACAAAGCGGAGGAACAGTACCCATCAAACGTTCATAAAAGGCAAGAAAGATATTTGCAAGGTGAACCCAGATGGATATAGTGGTGTTGTCAGCTCTCAACCACTGGTTCTCCATCTTAACAGAATGGTCAAAAAAACCTTTTCACCTTTTGCGTTCCAAACACTTCACTCCTCGTTCTACTCTTGCCAAAGATATTTTCTGTTCAGCAATGAGTCCCTAATAATTTTTTTTAGGGAGAATTATATTAAAACCCCTAATATTTGAAATATTATATATAAACCCTTAAAATTTGTACGCGAATAACTTAGATTTATATTAAATGTATCTTTTAATAAATTATACTTAGATCCCTTAAAATTTTTTGGTATAAAATATTTAGATCCCTTAATTTTAAAAATATTATATTTAAATCAAAAATACTTTAATCAAAGATAAAATATCAAATATTTTAAATTTTACAATTAAAATTCATGTTCTATTGTATCATTTATTGAAATAAAATTAAAAATAAAAATTTAATTTTTTCTTAAAAAGTTGTAATTAATATACAATTATACTATCTATTAGAATAAAACTAAAAAAATTAAACGATGAGTTTAAGTCATTCATAATAGAACATGAATTTTACATTCAAAATTCATGTTCTATTATGTCATTTATTGAAATAAAATAAAAAATAAAAATTTAGTTTTAAAAAAAATCATAGGTAGTATATAATTATATTATTTATTAGAATAAAACTAAAAAAATTAAATAAGAGGTCAATCTATAATGAACACAATATCTTTTAGATTTAATTGAGGTAGTTTGGTATTTTAATTTGATCGTTTAAACAATCAAATTAAATTTCAATAGACAATAAAATTTTATATTAATTACGATTTTTTTAAAAAAATTAAAATTTTAGTTCAATAAATGATACAATAGAACATAAATTTTAATTCTAAAATTTAAAATATTTTATATTTTATATTTGATTGAAGTATTTTTGATCTAGTGTAATATTTTAAACTTAAAAGACCTAAGTAATATATATTTATAAATTTTAGGGGATGTAATTCTTCATTTTCATTTACTCTGCAATGGGGGCGGGCCGCTGCTGTGGATTAATATTTTTTTATCAATTATTTGAATTCGATATCTTATATTATCATGGATTCAGATTTGAATATACCTATATTCAATTTAATTCAAAATATTTATATATTTTTTATATAAATAGTAAAAAATTAAGTGATTATTTAAAAAAATTTAGTTAACATTTTACATGTAATTTGTTAAAATATAATTAAATTAAGTTATTGGGATAGAATTTTGGATTGTTAATGAATTCATATATGAACTGCAAAAATAAAATTCATCGAATAATCAAATTTGAATTCAGATCAGTCTAAAACACAAATATGTTAATAGGCCTAGCCACCAGAATCCAAATCCCCTATTTTTTTCTTCAATTTTCTTGATCGTTAGATTATTAAATATAAAACTGAATGATCTAGTTATATGCAATAATATGTTTAATTTTAAATCACAATAAATAATTTTTTAAAGAAAAAAATATAGATTAGAAAATATTAAACATATCACTAATTGAACAAACAAAAAATTCTCACGTTTTACTTAGCATATTTACACAGTCCTTTAATTACTTTCGATTATCTCAGGCATTATAAACAATATCTTATTTTATTCCTAGGCTATCAAATTATTTCAGGAAAGTTTAGAATTGATACCTTGTGATTTTTAATATTCTTAACTTTAATTTTTTGTTTGAAATGTTATTTTTGTATTTCATATTGCTTATTATAATTGTTTAATTCCCAATTAAATATTAGGATAAATTATATTCACACTCCCTGATATTTGGTTTTATTACACGGACACTCCCTCACATTTCAACAATTACACTGAGACCCCAATGGTTAGACGGAGTTAACTCTCTCAATAAAACGACAACTTTGCCCCGCTGTTTAACACAAACCCAATCCCTCTCTGACTCTCTCGCTCCCACCAGCGAACCCCAAACCCCTTTTTGACTCTTTCTCTGGCTCCCACCAACGATCCTAGTGATCCCAATCATCAGTCTTATCTCTCTCTCTCCCTCAGCTCATCTATGTGTGTGCATTTGTGTGTGTATATATGTATATGTATACATATATATATGCACACATGTAAAGAGAGAGAGAGAGAGAGAAAGAAGAGGTGGTGGCGGTTTCCATGGTGTGGAGGCGACGATTGGTGGTGGGTAATGGTGTTAATGGTGCATTTATGAGCCAAAATCGCAGAAGATTGCTAGCCCTTCTTCCACTACTGCAACACATTCCAGTAGCCACCCCATCCAAATATGAGAAATCAAAAGGATCCGAAGCTTTAAAATCTGCTTGGATGATTTTGGAGGGGTTTTGGGGTTCGATTTTACTACTAGTTGTTGGGTTTGTGAGTGGTGTGGTTGAGGAGTTGGAAATGGAGGTGGAGGATAAGAATGTGGTGGGGTGGGGGGGTTGCTCGACTGTGATGGTTGTGTGTGTGTGCGAGAGAGAGAGAGAGAGAACGATGTTATGGAGGAGAGGGGTCATGTATAGAAATGGTCGATGAGGGGTTTTGGCTAGGTGGTGGTTTCAGTGGTGGAGGCGAAGGTTGTTTTCATGGGGTTGTGGTTTTCCCTCTGTTTCTGTTCTCTCCCTCTCTCTCTCTCTCTTTCTCTCTGCTGGTGGTGTTTGGATGTGTTGGGTGGCAGATGTACTATCACGGTGGTTAAGTTTATGTAGTGGTGATGGTGGCAGAACTGGTGGTAATGTTGGAACTGGTGGCAAGAGTAAAAATTTATGTAGTTAGATAAATAAGAAACAAAAATAAATTTAATATGGGATAATTGGATTAGGTAATTATTGATGTTTTAAAAAAATGATTACATTTTAAATTGTACTAATAGTATCAAATATTATTTAATAAACAAAAAAAATTAATATTTTATTTATTAATGTAATGTATTTAGAAATTAAACATATAAGTGTTAAATTTTAATATATATATTTCATATATAGATTAATAAAATAAATGAGAGGTTGTATAAATTTGGAGGATATTTTTGATATTTTGAGAATTATGATCGATGATCTCAGCTGTTAATAAGTTTAGCATCTGTTAGTTAGTTGGAGGAGGTGTGACTGTTATAAGTTTTAAATGTTAAGGGAGTTTAGTGTTATTTTTAAAATGTGAGGGGGTGTACATGTAATAAAAACAAATATTAGGGGGTGCAAGTGTATTTTATCCTAAATATTATTTTTGAAACTGGCTATTTTGTAATTCCTAAAATTATTACTTTTATTTTTATAAGGGTTAAGACTTAATCAAGCATCATTATTTGCTTCATGGATATAGTTGATAAATGCGTCTTAATTTTGATACTAATGTCAATTTATTTTTTGTTTTTTAGTTTTTGTTTAATGGTTAGGGGTGTCTAGACCACCTTACGCATACATCGATTAATCTTTTATCTGGTTCGATCAAAGACAGACTATTCACATCAAAATTAAAATATTCATGAAAGATAAATTTTTTATCATCATCAAGTATGGGTAGAGAGTAGAAAAATCAAATATTTTGTTGTAGTTTAACCCATCAACTTCCATTCCATTAAATTATTTCATGGAATGGCGACTTGGATGGAATGTGTTGATTATATCTACTTTAAGCAGTCAAAGGTAAATTAAGAAAAATAACTTTCATAGGATAAATTAAAATTAGAGTTAGATTTTAGGGTTTTTCACGCTTTGCATCTTAAAAGATTTTAAGATTTTTACTTTGCATCTTTAAAAATTAAATTTCTCACATTAAAACTTTAAATATATCAAAAGTGTTGTAATTTTGTCTTTCTGTTAATTTCTATTATTTTTTGTGTAAAAAATCAATTCATTGACACTAACGAAAAATTAATAAAAAATTAACAGAAGAGTCACATTTCAACACTTTTGATATATTGAAAATATAATACGAAAATTTTAATTTTAAGGATACAAAGTAAAAATCTTAAAATTTTTTAGGGTACAAACTGCAATTCAGCCTAGATTCTAAAGGACATTAATGTTTATCTTAGATTGTAAAGGAACTTTTTTACGATGTTTATCCTTAACCCTTTCATAGCACAAGACGAAGACCTTTGTGAATACTGAATACTAAAGTTAATTTGAATTTGAATAATAGGTTGGGCTTGGGTCAAAATAGTTTGGTCCAACATTGTTCTAGCTTAAACGTAGGCCACGACTACACTTGCCCCACGGACAGCACAGTCCATTTTAGATCAATCTCACACACAGGCAGATGTATTTTTGTTTTAATAAAAATAAAATAAAATTTGGAAGCCGCTTTCTCTATATATATTTGTTTTGACTTAAATCCGTTAAAGAAATTTATTTGTTTTGAAGTCTATTTTTTTTTCAATTTTACCAGACTATCCGTTCTCTTTACAAGTAAAATAAAACTAAAAATTATAAATTCCTAAATTTTAAGAATTTGACTAACATTAAAATTTTTTATCTCTCATATCTGTCTATATCTACATATAGGAAAGGATTATATATCTCTCATACATTATCGAATTTTTTTTTTGGGTACCGTAAACAAATCCTTGACTCTAAAGACATTTGGCCCTCACATTATTATTTTTCAGATGAGTGGCCAAAAAATATTGAAAGCACGAAACTAGTCATTATTATTGTTATTCTTCCACAATATCCTCCTTTTGATGTGTACATAAGTTTAATCCATGAGAGCGTGTGAAGTGTACTGCATGAAGTCGGAAGATGATTTAGGGTTCAAATTCCCTCCGATACATTTTACCTCGATTTCTTTGTAGTAAACCATGCACCAAGACATAACCCACTTATATATGATAAAACTTACTTGAATCCATGACAGGTATGTTTCGTTTGGTAGGAAAGATGAGAAATAAGAGAGATATAATTTTTATCTTTCAAGAATAGAAAGTAAAAAATATACATTTTCCTTCTTTTGTATTTGGTTGAATAGATAAAAAATAAAAATGACTATTTTTTTTTGTTTGTGCTGGCTAAAATTAAAAATGACAATCGAGTCATGTCAAATTTGTGTTGAGTCATTACGAGTTTATGTCAAATATCAGTCAAACCTAACTTAACTCATTTAACTAATTGTCATTTCGAATTGTAAATTGACCTTTTTATTTTCGTATCGAGTTCGAGTTGTATCATCGTGTTGAATCAAAAACTTTCACCCTTAGTTAAGATGATTTTTTTTTTTAATTTAAAATTAATGTATATATATATAGACAAATAAGATACATCTCAACACAAATAATTAATTTTTCATCCACTTTCCTTCCAATTTTGGAGAGATTGATTTTAGTGAGTTAGAAAAAAAGTTAATCCATCTATTTTTTCATCTTCCTTACTTTCCCTGTTTACCAAACATGATGTTTTATTTATCCTTTCAATTTTTCATCCTCCCACTTTTTCATCGTACCAACCAGAGCAGTAATATACCATTACAAAATAGCTAAGAAGGAATTTAATAATAAGGGAATACATGAAGTTGGTAGGTAATTGGCAGGAATTCATTCTCTAAACAGCAATGCCTTAGGGCTAGGATACAAAGAGTTTATCTCTCACGAATACTCTAATTCTGGGCAAAAGATGGACTAATCGAGGTGCGTATAAGCTCTCTTGGACATACTTGCCGTTGAATAAAAAATAAAAAAATAAAAAACAAAAGAAAGAAGAATCCAAAGCACAGAGACATGCTTCATCATTGTCCAAATCTGGAGAGATCCTTGGATTGATGTAAAATAAATTTACAATGTTGCAAAAATAATGTTCATTAAAAAATAAAATTGATACTTATCATCTTCCCAAGGGATTTCTCTTCTCCTGTAAACTAATAGGTACAGAAGATCCCACAAATAATATCAGCTTCCCAGATAAATTAGCAGCACATTTCTCATCAGTCCCACCTTAGTCTATATCCAGTATTTTCATTGTTCTCCCAGTGGTACCACCTGAGTCAACATTGATCATTCTTATGCAGTTTTTTAACATCACTAATCATCCCTACCTACACTACTTAGTTCAGGACACTTAAGTACAAGGCGCTCTCGATTGTACCTATTACGGTACAAAAAAGAAAAAGAAGAGAGGACATACTAATCATGATAACTCGTGTTCATTTAGATCGAGAGCATTTGCAACATAAAACTATACTACATACAGTGTTGGCAGATTCAAAAGCACATACCAACGCTACATGGAGTCCCTGGAATTGCTTCACTTATGCAGTCCTGTATTTGTTTAATTTTTGCTGGTGGGTTATAGATCTCAGTTGTCCTTGCAGTTTCTTGAATAGCTTGAAGACAATCTCGATTGGGACTGAAAGAAGTCAAATGGTGTCCCTGGTCCAAAAGACCGTCTCGTGGCATTTGGAGAATCTGATAGTAGAGGTTCAAACACTGGATTTCTGTTCTTGGGTTGAGAAATTGATAATGGACAGACATCTTTATCATAGGATCTAGGTTGTGGCTCTATATTTCCTAACGACAATATGGGACCTCCCAAACGTTCAGCCTGCTGAAGGATGTTGATTTTACTTGATCTGTATGTATATCTGAAGTACTTAAGAGCTAGCACCGGACCCATCCCTGCTGCAACAATGAGCTGAAATGGCATTACAGTTAATTGTCAGTTTATGAACTCCATCCTATAAAGCAAGGGCATGCTCTTCTCCAGCACAAACCATTCTTGGTAGGTTAGGACTCAACTCCCACTACATTATCAATACGAGGTTCATAATCAAAGGACCAAAATCCAAGGAACAACTAAATCCGGATGAATGGAAAAGATGGATTATTTATGGCCAGATAACGTATAGGGGTGTAATATCATTAGTCCGGGACACCATGGTCATATTTGTCCAAATGAAAACATAATAGTCAAATGTTTCTAATTCTAGAGAAATGACAGTGGTGCTCCTATCTGTGCCATGATATAGCAAGTTGTAATACCATAACCTATGCAGCCAGAGTAGGTACTTGGAGAAGAGATGCACTCGAAAAGAAAGAATGCACGAAATGAGAAGGAAAACTCACAAACATAGTAACCCAGTAAGTTGGCTGTCTACAAAGGCGGAACATGATTGTGTACATTCCTGATGATGGCAGGGCACTGACTATCCAGTTGATGACATAAAATGCAGCCAGATTTCCCCATATTGCAAGAAGTTGCGGTATTGTGAAGGAACTGCACACATCAAACACATACTTGGTGGTTAATGCACACAAGAATAATTTCAATGTACTTTTTTATGAGGAAACATGGACCAAGTACTCATTGGCACGAGTCTGGCTGTCATTGATGGAAGATAGAGGAAACTTCATCCTCTCCTATTCCAAAAGTTAAAAGAATTTAAGGGATACCATTGAACAGCTTTTCGATAAAATCGCATTGCTTAAGGTGAACAAGACAAATCAATCTCCAATAACCCAATGTAACTGTTAGTAACTTACTTGGTCTCTATCGAGACAACGAAAGCTTGCAACCAAATACAGCCAGAGAGTGCAACCATTGATAACTCCTCCATCTCACTTTTATCGTAAGCATATGCATGTATGGTGATTGCAAATACGACAATCGCCTGAATAAGAAATCTATTATTAGTAATGTGAAATTCTCCAAAATAGTAACAGTGAAACTATGACACAAATTAATTGTCTCATTAAGGACTTCTATCAGAACACTAGTAATCTTCCTTCCAATGTCTGCAAATGAGGAGTGTATGCCTGTTGGAAACCCATTTTTAAAATACAGAAATTTATAAGAGGGGAAAATGAAGAACAAAATATTATAAGTTTTACATTTGCTTCTCATGTTGTACATGTCCTTGCATTGAGAAATTGCCAATGAAGTGCTGCAAGGACCACACATGTCCTCTAAAGCTAATGTGATCATCTGTGAGCAACTAAAAATAATGTCTCGCCTGCTTTCCACATATTCCAAAGGAAATTCAAATTCAAGTCTCGCTCACATCATTGAAATGCATAGTGACATTCTCTCAAATATCTCCTCATCATCATTGATTTATGACATTGACTGTAGGGAACAAGTCCACCAACAGCTTCCTTGTTTATGAGTTCACTTGCAGTTTTACCAAGATTACCTTGTCCGCAACTGGACCTAACTGAAGCCTAACAAAATAGGGGTGAACGATCACCTTATGTATGCATTTGCAACAAAACTACCATCTTCAAACATGCCTTTAGGAAGGTACTATTCCCAATCACATAATTTAGGATTTCCTAGTTTATTGAAAGAAGAGGCAGTTAAACCATTAGGGTACCCGGATAGGAACAACTCAAAGGGTTCATCAGTATCATCTCTTTCCTCAATTGATACTCGGATGATGAAATTAACAGGAAGTATGCCAGAAGATTTGAATGAGTGTGTACAATGAGAGCCAGTTCCCCCATCCCACAATGTAGGCATATGCATTTCCCCATTCTCCTCTGAGGCCTCTACAAAACTGAGTTCCAAATGCACAGATCATAGAGAAAAAAATGCAACCAAACATAGGCACCAGGCAGACCAATTCATCCACCAGGCTTACCAAGATACTAATTACTGGGTTTACTTCCTCCAAATCGAGTCACTGCTTCAAGGTTGGTCAAAATTAGGATGCTCTATTTAGTTAAACTAGTGTTCTAAGGTGAAAGAAGTGACAAATACTAAGCAACATCAATGCACAAGACACATCTCAAATGCCTCAAATGTTCTTCATCCATGCATGAGATGGGATGGTACTCCCTAAGATAACCTCTCTTGGCAGAGCTTCCTCCATTGCCCAGGACAAATTTCCACATATTACTAGTATCTCAGAGCCTTTTGGATCACACAACTCCGTAACGTACTATTCTTTATAGGTATCTTACAATCATCGGAAAAACCTATATACAAAAAACTATATTCACCAATCTAATCTTTTAGATCACACACAAAATTGATTATCTATAATGAGTCCCGCCATAGCCACACTCTTTCGGCATAAAAAAATGAAATTCATACTATAAAAAGTGCACACTGAGATGAGTTGAATTGAAAAAATAAGCACTGAATTGTAAACATCTGAAATATTTGGGTTCCTTTCATTAGTAGGTGTCTTTATGCTTAAAATAAACGAAAAAGCCTTTGGCTCAATATATATATACGTCTGCTCACAACCCAAGAAAAATGATTCATCAAGCCTTCCCACGAAGAAAAAAATTAAACTGGATTTCTTGTTCAATCCTAATATGACTCTCTGGATCCATTGAAAGAACCAGACACATGAGACTAGAGTGTGGGAATCAAGATGTTACTGAAAACTATTATTTTCCTTCTAATGATGTTCTGCTGATCTAACACGCTGAATTTTTCAAACACAAAGGCTAGGTCATTCCAACATAGAACCTTAAATCTTCAAACCATCAGGGTGTGGTGTAAGCAACAGAAGAATAGCAAGAAATCAAACCATAACATCACTCACATGAAAAAGGGACCGCCCAAACCATCCGGCAAATGTGCTAGGATTCAGAAGCCTGTTTCAAGAGTGACCTAAGTTAGTTGGAAGCCCAGCACGAAGCATATTAACCAGAGATGACAAAAGCCCAGTTCCTTGGACCAAGAAATGTGATCTAGAATATAGATCAGCTAAATCACTATCTTTCATTTTATATCAACGCAACCAATTAATATGGATAAATTCAAACTAAACTAAACCAAGCCTTATGTCCCAATCATTTGGGGTCGGCTATATGAGTTCGTCTTCAACCAATTAATATGGATAAAGAGCACAAAACCCCAAAGTCCAAACCTTCCTGCTTGGCAGTAAAATAATATTTGTGGGTGCTGCATCACAGTTCTTTCACTGAGATCTTTGTCAAGGACACTGACTAATACAGGGATACTAGTGTAGAAAACGTTATAAGCCATCAAGCTGACAGAGTTGAAAAGGCTGGTTCCAGAGACACCTGAAATAAAAGAGAAACTGAAAGTATTCCAAGGTTAGTGCAATAAAAAATGTACTAAACAGAAGTTTCAGTTACACAATATTGCAACTCATTAAGAGAAAGATCTACAATAGAGAAACTTCTAAACAAAACAACATCATCCACGTAAACTTACAAGATCTGGATAAAACAAATCAGAAGGGATTTATAGAAGGAGTACTGGGACAGAAATGCTGTTCGATTGTATGAATACCGCCCATGGACAAGTATCAATCTTTTCAAAAATCTGAACTCTGCAATGCAAAAAAAAAAATCATTTAGAACTTCAAATCAGGGCAAGAATACATGAAAATCAATCCCAATACTAAAAAAAAATCTAGCAGCAATGTTATGGAAAAATCAGTTAGAAAGCATGGTATGCAATGGAATTTTAGAAATTTGAGTTCTACAAAGCAAGAGCTAAGATCGCAAGATTCAACCCTGTTAGAATATATATAGGAATGACAAAATTGTAATAAGTATACCCCACATGGGTATATCAGTCTTCTTATTATTTTGCATATATATATATATATATATATACACATGGAGTCAGGGAGACGTATTGAAGCTCTCTGGCTCCTCTTGCTTCATTCTCTCCAAAGCCTAGCCTCTACATTCACAAACCCCAATAAAAAAGCTGAAAAAATTAAAAGAGGTATGATGATACTCATGATTTGACATCTGTATATTCCAAAAAAAAAATCAGAAATACAAAAGAACAAAAATGAATTCAAATGTTTTCAAATATTCGAGATTCTAATAGAAATTATTTCTATGAACCTCAAATCAAGCAGTGCATCACACAACCCAGAAGTCACAATTTTACTGGCCAAACTCACCTTGGCTTACATCATACTTGTTGACAATCTTATGAAATCAAACTACAATTACAGTCAATTCTCTTTCATGATTCCACGAAGAATTTTCCCAAATACCGGTAATTGTTAAAGACATCAAACTGGATTCCATCAATAAGCAACAAACTTAATTACCGCTGGCGTTAGATATGTATCAACTTGGATTAGTGTCACAACTTTAACAGTTCTATAGACAATATTGGATGAGACATAGAATGAGAGAGAAAGGGTCGCAACAACTTTGCTTTTTAGTTTCTTTTTTCAGTAAATAAAACTCCTTAAGGTCGACTGCAGAACTTAAAATCACTAAAAACTAGCAGATGAGTTAAATTATTTATAATAAAATATTAAACAAAAACTGCAAGGAATAAAAATACATAGTCCAGCAGACAAATTTTTTGAACAAAAACTGCAAGGAATAAAAATAAATAGTCCAGCAGATAAATTTATCTAAAACAGGATATTGAAGATCTTACTTCCAATACTATAATCAGCTGCCCTGGCTGCCTGCAGTCCTTCTCTCCCACTTATGCCAACCCCAATGTCAGCTTGTTGGATCATCCTCACGTCATTCCCACCATCCCCAATTGCCAAAGTTCTGTAGTCACATGATTTTAGGAGCTCTACAAGCTGCAAAATGGCATGAACTGTACTTCAGATATTTTGGCAAAAAAGTGCAAAGCATCACCACCACTTAATTAAACAACATTTTAGAGAGACTCCGTTTAAACCTGGTTAGGTTCTAAAAAGCCAAATTTCAACACGGTAAATGATCATATTCACATTTATCTTTGACCAATTATTATAAAAAGTAAAATACTACAAGTATAAATTAAAAGGACTTTGAAAACCACGGAGAGAAGTCTACATAGAGAATGCTACAACCAAAGGATGTGTATCATGGGGAAGTGGTTTTAAACACGGTTGTTAATATATCATACGACATGTTTCAATACATGAAGGAAATTGATACATATTGCTTAACTGTATCGGATTTGCACTATATTGCGCAATACACGACACGATACATACAATACGTACTCATACGTAAGAGTCGTCTAATATGGTTCAAAAAATATTTTATTGGAATTTTAAGAGGGAAGCGACACCATTCCACATGGAACTAATTTTTTTCAAACACTAGGCAGTGAGACAACGCCATTTCACTATCTGGGGTTTTAAACAATAACAGTCCAGTCTCCTTTTCTGGCTCCATTGGATGCTAAAACTAGAAGTCTCTAAATTTTGATATTAATGCATTATGTAGGAAACTTGAATAGTTGGATTGTTAATTTTTATTTGTGGATAGTTCTTATTTTCTATATTAGACATAAGTTAATTAGCGTAGAGTAATATTATAATTCTCCTAAATATTACTCGTTATAAATAAGAGAGTGTAGGACAACATTGCCTAACACGACTGATTATTCCCTCTCAACCTCTTCTCCCTCACTTTTTCTAACCCTAATATTGCTTTTATTGTCTTAACTTGGTATCAGAGCATTGATTCGTGATAATATATCATCAAAAATAAAGGAAAAGACCCTTAGAGAATCAGTTCATTGCCTGGAGTAATCATTAGAGGCTAACGTCAGCACTCTCTGACGTCAGAGACACACTATCTAGCTCAGTTTTGTGTTGAACATTTTTGGTAATTTTTGTTTATTTTTTGAAATCACCTAGTTGGAGTTTTTGATTTTTGAATGTTTGTCTTGAAAATAAGACTTGGATTCTCGGCCTATTGATTTAGGGTTTTTCTTGAGATTTGTTGCTTCGATCTCTCACAGATAACTCCGAGTAGATGATTGGAAGGCTGGTTTGACATACCCAGATCTCTTGGAGTGATTTTGATGTGTTTTTGGTGAGATTTGGCCAACAGTTATTGTTCCAACGCGGATGACTGTGACAGATCTATTATGTTTTTTTTTTGGTGTGTTATACTCTAATTTTAGTAATTTGGCTCTGGCTTGTGTGTTGGTTGAATTCGAGAGGCAGCTCTATAGGCAGTCTAGATTTGTTGTTTGAAGATCCACTGAGCAGTACTTAATACTATTCTAGAGCACTGATCTGTGCTTGTTTTTGACTCCTGTGTGTTTGCTTTAGGAGCTTTCTAGTGTGGGTAGTGTTCTGTTGTGGATCCTTACTCATGAGGGTTGTGTATTTGGTGATTTATTTTGGTTGTGGTTGATTGTGATTGAGGTTGTGGTTGATTGCGATTGTGGTTGTTTGTGGATTATTTGTTTGTTTCGGACTCTATTACTATCTAGTTGGTTGTGGGTATCTCTATATGGCAACTTCAGAGGATGTGAAGAACACTTCAGTGGATGATCCCAGATTTAATCTCTACTACTCAGGGGGAGCTCCTGTATCAGATGGTGTATCTCCTCCTTCAAAGGTTTTTAACCCTCAATTATAAGTTTATTATCGTTTCATTGATAGACAAGTTGTTTTATATACTCTAGTTCACTGACCAACACTTAATTCTACTGAGATCCTTCCTCCTAAGTCATTTCCCCTATCACCCTCTTTGAACTTGCCTATTATATTGCGGAAAGGTACTCGTACTTGAACCCAACATCTCATTTCTAATTTTATACCTTGTCATAGACTTTCCTTATCCTTTTGTTGTTTTGTATCAATTTTGTCGTTTTTATTTGTTTCCAACTCTTTGAAATACATATTAACATCTCCCGAATGGAAACTAAATATGGATGAAAAAATTAAAAAGCTTCATAAAAATCATACCAGGGATCTTACTCCTTGTCCTTCTAGTAGGCAATTTGTCAGTTGTTGCAGGGTCTACATTCTGAAATATCATCTTGATTAGTTTGTTGAGCATCTGAAGGCATTGTTGGTTGCTAAGGGCTACTCCCAAACGTATAGTACAGATTACTATGAGATTTCTCTCTTGTTACTCGTTTTCACTATTATAGTTCTTATTTCTAGTGCAGATAGTTGAGGGTGGCCCTTGTATCAACTACACATAAATAATGCACTTTAATACAAAGATCTACCGAGGAAGGTATATATGACTCATCCTTCAAGCTATGTTTTTACTGCCCAGAAACAATTAGTGTGTCGCTTGAAGAAAACACTGCATGACTTGAAGTAATCACTACGTGCTTGGTTTGATAAGTTTAATACTATCTTATTTGAGTTTGGCTTTTAGCGCTCTACTTCATACCATTCAATCTTCAATCATCGGTCTTCTGTAGGCATGATTATTGTTATTATGTATGTCGATGACATCATTATTAGTGGTAATGACTCAGATAGTATTGCCCACTTCATTGACTTCAAAGTTTACTTGAGAAAGTAGTTTCATACCAAAGATTTGGGTCTTCTTTGGAACTTCCTAGGGATTGAGGTTGCCCAAAAAAAGAAGGGTATCAGTTGATTAGCCTTGGATATTGTGTGATTTTTATTTTAATTACTGGCTAATTATATTGAGCAAGACATTAATGGTGTTGAATTAATAAAGTTTTGAATATCATCTTGTTTTTTGCAGTGTTTGTTTGACTTTGCAGATAAATTGGGTGAATTAATGATCGGAAGGATAAAATACAAAAAGAGAAAAGATTCAGAGCAACAAGGAGGAAAAAGGGAGAATCTGCCTAATGCGTCCGGGTGGAAGATCAAGGTGCCTCCGGACGTACCAAAACTGCCCAAAGAAGAATGAAGACACACGTTCGAACGGGGAATGCATTGCATCCTGAAGTAACTTCCAGAGAAAACAAGAAAATTACTGTAAAGTGCGTCCGGACAATCAAAAGGCGCGTCTGGAAGTGATGCACAGAAGGGCCAAGATGCCAAGGTGCGTCCAGCTAGATTAAAAGGCGTGTCCAGATGCGATGGCGAAGTTCACCAGTAACCCTAGAATTTGATGTTAATTAGGTTTTTTATTCCAAAAGTCTATATAAAGGGGTGTAGGCATCGACTTGTATTCATTCTACTTTTAGCTCATTTTCACTAGTTTTTGTTCTAGTTTTCATATGAATTGTTAAATCTCCAACTAAAACTAGGGGAGATACTTTCAATGAAGCACGATATCGTTTTTGATTTAATATTTTTTTAATGCATAACTTATTCTTTTAATTTAATTCTTATTTTTTAGTAAAATTTTTGTTTAGTATAATTTCTTAATTCGATGTGCCATGTACATCAAATGCTTGAGAATCTCAGTAAGTCAAATAACTGGTTTTACATGCCTGAATTAATTAATTAAAATTTTCATAAAATATTTAATTTATTATTTGTAATAAAATTAGAGTTTACCTGTTCAAATGCTTGATTTGCGACTTCGGACACGGTGAATGCTTGTGATCTACAACTAAATTCCTAAATTTGTTTAGATAAATTATCATTTATACTTTTGAATATTTTCTATATTATCAACGTTAAATATTTCAATTGAGATCACTCTTCAATTGATTTTCAATTGAGTTTAAAAACTGGATTATTAACAATAACCTTGTAAATTGAAAGGGTATCCCCTAATGCTTTAGTATTCCAAATTCTTCATTTTAATCAAACAACTTTTGTTTTTTTGAACAAACAAATTCCTACAACAATTTTCAAAGTATTTTTCTTTCATTTTTCCTTGTAATCTAAGTTTTTTCAATTCCACGTAGTACGACCTTGGACTTTCAAGAATACGTTACTTTGCGACAATCGAAGCTTGGATTCATCAATATTTAAGTTGTAACAGGTGCACCTACTGGAATTATTATCTGAAGCTAATACTCTAGTTGCACGTCCGATTGATACACATATGGATCCTATAGTTAAGTTAGATCATGAGAGTGGTAAAATTTTTGATGATATAGAGTTATCAAAGGTTGGATGACAAGCTGATTTCTCCCATAGTTGCATACCTTGATATTACATATGTTGTTGATGTGGTTAGTCAGTTCATACATATTCCTCGTAAGTCTTATTGGGAGGTTGTCTATCATATACTTCGATATCTAAAAAAGGCTTTGGGAAAAAGATTATTATATCAACCATTATCATCCATGACTGTTGTTAGTTTTTCTGATGCTGACTAGACAGACACTTCTGGCTATTTACTTTTGTTGGTGGTAATCTTATTACTTGCTATAGTAAGAAATAGAATATGGTTGCACGTTCTAGTGTGGAGGTCGAATATCGTACTATGACTCATATTGCTTGTGAAATGTTATGAGTTTGTTCTCTACTTCGTAATATGGGACTTGATGTTTCTTTTCCTACGAAGATGCATTGTGACAATCAAGTAGCTACTTTCAGTGGAAGTAATTTGACATTTTATGAGTGTACCAAACACATTAAGGTGGATTGCCATTTCATTTGAAATCTCTTGATGCAAAAGGAGATAGTCACTCCATATATCAAGTTTGGTAATTAATTGGGTGATATTCTTACTAAGTCATTGGCACGGTCTGCTTTCAGAAGTTTATATTCCAAACTGGACATTTTTTATCTTTATACTCTAGCTTGAGGGGAAGTTTTAGAGTTCCTATTTTCTATGTTAGACATAAGTTAATTAGTGTAAGGCAATATTGTAATTCCCCTAAATATTACAGTTATAAATAACAAAGTATAAGGTAACCAAGGATCAAAATATTGTTTCGGTGTATTGTTTTGGTCACCTAAGAAACGAAAACATTTCGATGTATTTCAAAAACATTTCGATCCATTTCGAAAATAGAATAAAAAAAAATAAAAAATTTAAGAATTATTTCAATACATTGGTCGAAATATACTAAAATATCTTAAAATACCTTGAAATATTCTGAAACAATTGTGTAAATATATTAAAATATAACAAAACATTTCAAAACATTATGGAACACCTCGAAATATTAGAATTTCGATTCTATTACCGATTCATTTCGGTTTCCTTTGAAACGAAAACGTTTTGATCGTTTCGAAACAATATTTTGATCCTTAAAGTCAACATTGCCAAACACGATTGATTATTCCCTCTAAGCCTTTTATCCTCTCTTTCTTTTCTCTCTATCGCTTTCTCTAAACCTAATATTGCTTTACTATGTTAATTGTGGACCTCGTATTCTCTTCAAATTATGTTTATGTGCAAGATTTGTAGTGAAATAAAACGTTATTACGATTTTTTTTCATAGGTTTATGCATTTTTAAATGCATTTTATAAATTGCACATATCTTACGATACAAGATAGATTATGATACGCAATACATTGTTTTTGAAAAAAATTTCTCCTACCAATACACATTTTGACAATCTTAGTTTTAAATACTTTTAGCAAAACTCTTAGGATATTATCTTCCTAATGACTAATTTTTTTTAGCTAATAATTTTCCTTACTCTTGGGATAATTTGAATTGTTAATGCTCTTGGCACCACCATGCTCCTGAGGACCCGTTTATATAGGTATCATTTTTTGTAGTCTTTAGGTATTTTGTGCCACTTGTAGTCTTTAGGTATTGTTAATGCACTTGTAACAAACAAAGCTCTAGAATCAAAAATTAATACCAAATATTACACTATAAGATGGTATTTGAATACCCAAAGGGAGTACCTGAGCTTTTTGGGATGGTGTAACACGACAGCAGATAGCTGTCCTTGACAATATTGCTAATTCTGTGAATGCTTTCCGGTAATGTTTAAGTGCAATTTCAAGAGCCCAGCCATCCACAACGAAAGCCACATCCTGTCATAAAAGGATTGTAGTGACCAGGGGAAAAGAAAACTATGTGATATATATTAGCAATGGAAATATAGGAAAAAAGAAATTATTTGACACCCTATTCCTGACGATAGAATATAAAATTTACATATGTAAGAGTAACTACAAAATTCCTGCTACAAAGTATGTAGCAACCATGAAGATCATTCACAAACATTAGAATCACTCCTAACAGTGAACATAAAACAAAGCCACAGCCACCAACGGAGAGGGGTATTTATTATTCACCAAATTAATAATGCAACTGACAACTGTGCTAAAGCCGTACCTTGGGTTCTGAATTTGTAGTTCTCATAGTAAGTAAAACTCTCTCTAGACTTGTACATACTTCATCTTCAGTTTTACCATTTATTAACAGAAGCTGGCCTTTAGGTTCTGTCAGTTAAGGAAAGAAAAACGCAAAATTAGCTGCACATAAAATTTGATGACATATGAAGAAAGAATCAACTCACAAGGGTACTCTTAACTCTTTTTTGTTTTTCTTGAGCGGAGTATTCTAACATTACTAGATTTCATTTCATAAATGATAAATGTCAAAGGCCAAACTCATTATGTGACATATCAACTGCTGTATCTAAATCCAAAGCTACAGGTAAAAAACACAGTAAAGACAAGATATTTGATGTAGGACAGCAGAGGACCTAAATTCAGCACTGTTCAAGTCCTGTGAACAGTGTCGTGAACAGTAATTTGGGGTTAAATGTGCAACATTATGGGTTATGGTTTGATGGGTTGTTTGGAATAGGGGTAGAGTTGTAGACTACTTTTAATGATAGAAAGAACAAAATTCCAGAGATGATTATGAGGTTATAATTGCAAAAAAATAGAAGAAAAGAAAAGAAGAAGAAAACTAGGAATCACTCCTAGGGTTGCTCAGACATCACACAATCTCATAGCATATAATTACTGAAAATTTCTGGTAGATATTTCTCTCCCCTTTATTAAAAATACCACTAATTATATATAGAGTTCTAAGTACTCCTCATCCTAAAATATTAGGATTCCAAAATCTATAGGACTTCAAAAACTCCAAAATTCGCATAAACTAGAACTAAGACTTTAAATTCTAAAACATCCAACACTAGAATTTGATCCCAAAGATGACCCATGGGTCGAACTATGACCCATTCCAAAAAATCTAAAAATTACAAAAAATACCCCTTGACCCTAAAAATATAAAAAAAACACATAAATTACTAAAAACTAGCAAACTGACTTAAGATAATTTAAAATAAGACAAATAAAACTATGCAAGGTTCTATATAAGTCTTTATTTTGATGGCAAGTCAAATTTCATAGTTCTTCATGTCTTTGAATTTGTCTCTTCTTGAGCATTTTATGGATTGCATCATTCCCTTCCGGTTAGAGAAAATTCGACCTCGAGTTTTAAAGTATTGCAATATGAGAGTCCACAAGTTTTGAACTTATATCCTCCTTCTCTTCATGAATTGAGGAAATAAATAAAAAATTTGTAGATGGATCTTCTCAATTCTATCTTTGAACTTCTCTGGAATCACAAAATCAATTGATGAAGCAAAGTGAATACAAAGAACATCCTTGAAATGACATTGAACACTACAACTTGTAGTGTGCCTTTCAATCGAAGTCTTCCCTTGTTCATGGTGATATGATATCTTCTTTTGCTATAACCATGAACTTCTCTCGATCATTGTTAGAATATGATAGTATTGGTGGATTTTTATGCTTGCTTAAATTCTTGAAAGATACAAACAAATTAAGCTCTTGAGACATTGTTGTTGTCGATGGAAAGCCATCAATGTAAGGAATTTCATTTGGCAACTCTTTTGGCACTATTTTAGAGCACTTAGTGAGCAACTGAGTCATGTCTAGAGGCAACTTTGATTCAATGCCAACTGCTATTTTTTCAATATTCTTAGGCTCCACTACACAATTATTTTCAAAATACTCGCATTTCTCCCCGGTTTTTGGACAAATAATTAGTGAACTAGCATGGGCCTGTCCAAACAGTTAAAGTTGAAAACATCTATAATTTCTTGAGCCAGGCATGATTGCAGGGAAGCACTTATATTTGAAGCGTTATCAGTGACTACAGTTAGTTACTACTTATACGAGGAATTGGAAAAAAATAGGCAATCTACCTGGTGAAACAAAATTGCATGAAAGAGCAATTTGTATTGCAGTATTCTGCTTATCTCCAGTTAGCATCCAAAAGTTAATTCCTGCCTTTCTAAGAGTCTCAATTGTTTCTGGTACACCATCCTGGATAATCATACAAAAGATACTGCTGATGTCAATTTTGTTCGACCAAACAAACAGAAAGGGTAAAAAAAGGCTTAAGAATATAGATGCTACAAGGAACAAACAGCGGAAATCAGGCCATATTTTCTTTTTAAACCAGCACCTGTAGATTAACAGATTAAACTATGCAGCTTTTTTGCTGGAAAATTAACCTACTGTCCCCAACAATGATAAAGGATTACCTGTAGACGATCCTCTATTGCAGCAACCCCAAGTAATTCCAAGTTATGCTCTAGTCTTTGGCAGACCTCTGCGACTCTCCACTGCAAAATACATCAAGTTTAGGAAATCACATCCACTAGTTACCAACTTCTGCAGTCATATGCAGAGTCAAACAAAAGAGGAAATTAAAGAAGAATAAGGAAAGCAAAAAGGAAATCAATAACATCAAGATGTAAGCTTTACCTCTCTATCGACCAATGTGCTGTTAGCCTCTTTAAACATCAAAGACCATTCTCGATATTCATCTTCCTCTAGCTCACGCCAAGCCAAGCATAGAGTCCGGAGGCCTAATTGCGCATATTGCTCCACAGCTTCAGCAAAAGTCCTTGTTTGTTGTCCTAACACATAATTTCACATTATGAGAGCCAAGCAATTGAAATGCAAGAGCTGACAAAGCAGACAAAGCACAATAGTAGGCATTCAAAACCAACATTTGAACTCTTCACATTCTTGATTGAAAAAAAAAACTACTTCACATTTAATATAGGTATAGATCACGAATAAACTCTGAAAAATAAGGGCCAAAATATTTGGTAATTTGCAATAAACTATCTTAAGAGGTTAACAGAAGAGAAAAAGGACTATATAAATAGGTACTGCACAGCCATAAACACACACCCACATCCACCCACCAACACACATATATATGTATGCTTACATGACTGCATAAAGAGAAATAGACCAACAAGAAGATCAACAACTGACTTCGAAACTATAGGGGATTCATTGACAAAAGCAAGGACCCAATTTACCAACATATTTGGCCAAAATAAGATCCAAAACTGGGTCTAAGAGAAGAGAGAAATGGATGTCCATGAATAATGTACTGTGAGTTGATTCCTTCCTGAGAAATTTCACGCTGTTGTGGACAACCCTAGAGACAATAATAAGAGCAGCTAAAGGAGATCCATGTATAAATTCATGACTTTTTTACTCCTACTCAAAGCATTGCATAAAATAAATCCCTAAAACCTAATATTCAACTTCAAGCTTCATCCAATTCCTTCTCAATTTCCATCACGTCTATTGAGAAAATTGAAAAAGTATAAGATTACCAGGTAATGCATGAGGAAGAATTGCTTCATCTGCTCCCTTGGACAGAAGGAATGTTTTTCCACCTCGGCAATCTTTAATCACTATTGACATTCTTTTCCGATCAGAAGTGAACTCTAGAGTATCCAATACTTCATACTGAATTATTGAAGCATTGAAATTAATTTCTGCAATACATCAAATAAGACAAGCTATAAAATCATTGGTGCAACCAGAGTCATGCTTTGTGTAATAGCCAAATCAAACAATTTGTACCCAGACTGTTTGCATTCTTATTGACAAAAATCATATGCAAGTGAGCAGCAGCACGAACAAGAGCTTCCTCATCCTGAGATTGTGCCTTATACAAGATTTCACCACTTTTGCTAAAGACAGACAGAAACACAAATAAACTAATTTAGGAACCAGGGCATGACACATCAATGCAGCTAGACTATGGGCAAGGGCATATCAAATGAAAAATAGGCTGTGCTTTTGGGCTTCAATGTAAATTAGAAAATCTTAGCAAGCATTTGGGTAATACATATGCTAAAATACCTTTGTATAGGAATCACTGTATTACACACTGCCATAACTGTCAGAAATCGGATGACATCCGAAGAACCACTGGCAACAGCATTAAGAAGCTCCACATCTGCATAGCAAGAAATGGAAGATATTAGTCCATTTACTTCCCTTAAATTATAAACCCGTTCTTGAAAGTATGAAATATAGCAAATGTGCATGAATAAAAATTATGGACATTGCATATGACAAAATTCTTGGTGAATTCAATGTCTTTCAAGATTTACAATGACAAGTTTCCTCAACATAGAGTATAAAACCCGGGAAAATTAAAATTTTATGAAAAATGACAAATGATAATTAGCCGTTACTGTGAAAACCCATATTTTTCTAAAACTCGGATGACGAAACAAACCTCACCCAGAAAAAACTCGGATGACGAAACAAACCTCACCGTTGGACTCGTCTCGCAAAATCTAGCTACTTAGTCAATTTTAGTTAAATTTCGAGACAACCAAATTTTTGCGTCGTACAAGGCAATTAGCCATCGTGTGACTAAAATAAATGCGATCAGGATTTAATTGAGAAACCCAAAAAATAATTTAAAGCACTGAACCTAATTTGGGGCGAGATATAATTACTTCAAAAAAAAATCGGATTAGAAAAAATCGGGACATGTGGCGCAATTTGAGCAAAGTAATTGGGGAGTATAAAAATGGGAGAAAATCAGATTTTCTCTCCATTTTGGTCTTCAGCATTTCCGGAAAAAGAAGAGAAAAAAAAGGAGAGAAAAGCCAAAATTCTCCCACTTTCTCCCTCCAATCTACGGCGATACGACTGTTGGATCTCTTCAAGTCAAGAACCAAAGTTATTCTACGCGACTAGAGCTACGTGACTATACCAAAGAACGGGTGTTTTCTTCAAAATCTCGCCGGCAGGATTTTTGGGTCAAAGCTTTGAAGCTTGATTTAGGATCTTCAGGACTCCTCCTACGCAGATATACACTACAAGAGGTATAATTCTCATGTATAACGTATACCTAGGATTGTTGTTAGAATATAAAAATGGGTATAAGAATGTGTTTAAACCAAATCTTGCATGATTGGATTTTGATGAAATTGTTTAATATGAATTTCATGGATAATGTTTTGTTTGGACATGCTATGTGTTTATATTTGTGTAGTATAGGTGTTTGATAAAATGCCTATGAATAATTAAGTGTGTTAATGTTATAACATGCTTGGTGGTGTTGGAAAATGTTATTTTATACTTTATGATATAATTGACATTTGAGGAATTGAGAATGCTTGTGAAAATTGAATGTGTTTATAATATGTTTATGATATGATGAACATGATATTGTAATTGCAATTATACATTACATTTGTATATGCACGGGTAGCATCGTATTCGTGAGCATTGACACGAGTGTGGGTGTGTGTGTGTGCATAGTTTTAGTCAAGCACCATTTTTGGTGGGGTCAATGTGAGCTCGGAAAGGTTGAACCTAGGTTCGACTGAGTCGCACGGGTTGCATTGAAAACATGTGTCAGGGTTAGTAAGAAGAGTTAAATTCTCCATCGGATGCAAGACCCGATAAATTCGGATACGTACTTCCGTTTGTATCGAGTCCATAAAGTGTGTTAGAGTTCGCGAAACCGTTGGTCGAAGTCCATAGATACCGTGTAGGTGAGGTACCCATTGGTGGAAATCCATAAATATCCATTCCAAGAAAGGCACAATCCATAAATATCCATTCCAAGAAAGACACAAGATTTTATAAAATGGTCATTATATATTTAACATCAATGGCTGGAGCTTAGAATGTCTGGATGCATGCACATGATATAACGTATTATGAGAGCCAGTGAAGGGCTCGGGTTTGCATTGTATGCATGAGTTTCATCTCAATGCATGACATGGATTAGTAACATTCATTTGAGAAATGAATTTATTTGAATGGATGCTTGATTTGTTTGATTGTATGTGATATTTCATATACATCTGGATTGGATAGTAACCTCATTAGGAGATACCCTATTGAACGTGACTCACTTTTTATGGGAACATATTTCAGGTGTTGAACAAGTGTCGATGGACGGCCTTCACTTGGGCCCTTGTTGATAGAGGAGTAGGAATGTGGCTTTTGAATTGCATTTTGTAAATTAATTATGTAATTTGTTGTGGACTTGTAAATTGGGTAAGAGGGACGTGCAATGAACTCTGGGACAATGTTTTTGATGTAAATGAATGAATGGATGAATATGGTATGAGTTAGGATGAATATGGTATGAGTTAGGATAAAGATAAATTGAAAATTAGAAGGATTGGAAAAAATCTAGGCTTAGGTACTGATACCTAGGTTCACAGGTACTGGTATCACGCTGTTGGATGATCCAGGTACCAGTTCCTTGGCTTACAAGTACCAGTACCTAAATTTTAATGGGCTCAGGTTCCGATACCAAGACACATAAGTACTGGTTCCTAGCAAACAGTGGACTTAGGTACTGGTACCAAGACACATAGGTATCAGTACTTAGAAAACAGAAGGCTCATGTACCTGTACTACGTATCACAGGTACCGGTACCTCCTCCTAAAACTTGAAATTTTAAAATGTAACACTGAAGGGCATTCACATCTTGAACGCTCTTTTTGGATGATGTAAATGGAGAATAATAAGACCTAATTATTGGGGTTTGGGCCTTGAAATGGTCATGTAATTAATATATGTATATGTTACGTGTAGGGTAGTACTCCGGTACAAAGGAGACTCTACCCAAATTCTGTTGTGGTTATGATATCGGTGAATGGGGTGTACCAACGTGGTATTGAATTATACGGTATTCACAGGTATTTCCGTGGGTTGATGGGTGACAACAGGCTGAGAAAAGACCCCTGAATTTTGGGGTGTCACACACAGAACAAAAGACCTCGAAAGTCAGATGCCAAAGTTGCTTCACGCATCGGAGTCAAGGAAAATAGTTAATTTGAAGTATGTATCCATGGGATAATATCCACATGTAACAGCAGAATATGGCTTTACATATAGACAGCAAGGCATCATCAAGAGATCTAACAAAAGCTTACTGAAGGCTATATGCACAAGCCCAAGCAGTAGAAATATATGCATGTTGCCTTCTTAGTCCAGTATGCATCTTTGAGATAATCGGGTCTTCGCATGTTGTCAAACAACTTCAAATTTTTGAACACATTTTTCATGGGGTACGATGGGCAATATGGGATTAAAAGAGTTTATAAAAACATAAAAGAACGATGCAACTCTCACGCATTCCCTCTTGAATTTGATATCAGCTCATATTAGGACAAAAGGGCTTGTTTGGCGAACCTTACAACCAGGTCAGCTAAGGATATGACTAGCATTTCTAGTTAATCCGTGTCTAATTTTCTTTGAGTTCGCTCAAATTCACTTAGAATACAAGGCAAATCGCTAGTCTGTTTGAATACTGAATGTTGCTTTCCCAATGAACCAAATGACCAAATGAGTCAGGACCTGGACTTAACAAAGGAGATTCCTAAACAGCTGCGAAATTGAAAGCTTGTCTGCTAATTTAACAAAAAACAACTAATATCTTATATGAAGTTCTTTACACTTAAAATTTTCTTTTTACCATGATCAATGAATCTACAAGTAACAAAGGGCTTGCATCACAAGACTGTAACAGTACAATTGAACCAGCCACTCTCCATCAACTGGAAAGAATATTCAATACAATGGTGATACCATGTCAGCATTGATGACATGGTATCACCAACCAATAATAAAATCTCAAATGGGCAACGTGAACCCTACCTGAGTAGTTATTGACTTATATGGAAGAAAAGTGGGTAGTTATCTGCTTACATGGACCGATAGTTATTGGTTTTGGGGAGGCGGGTGACTTCCTTATTTGGCTGCATATTATTGGTTGGTGATACCATATGGCAAAGCTGACGTGGTATCACTGTTGCAATGCATATTTTTTCAAAACAAATATGAGGGTTTTTTTTTTTTTTTTGTTTTTTGGGGGGGGGGGGGTGGATGATGGTGAAGAAGTATGAGACAAAATTGGCAATGCTATCAAAAATAAACGCCATAAGAAGATCAAACCTTTCAGGGCATCCCCGCTCTCATTCCCGTAGAAAATCCCACTGATACAACATCTTTTAAAGATCATTTTATTTTCAGTAAGCGTTCCAGTTTTGTCAGTCAAAATATACTCAACTTGCCCCAAATCCTCACTAATTGCTGTGCTGCCATATGTAACAAACACAGCTTAGATAAACAGGTATATATCATCTGCAGAAAGCCACGGGCAAATTTCACATCTCTTAACTTTGTTGCATGGGATCGGGTGCTAGTCTCCAGGTCAATCATTTCATTGTCCCAATCAATGAACTTTGCATACAAGCTTTTCACAAGATCCAAAGATACCTGCCACAGAAAAGAAGCACAATAAGGCTACTAAAACAGGGTTTACAATGTAGAAATGCTAGATGTTTGGGGCTGGAAAGAGATGATAAGTGTCACAGTTACAGAGCGGGTAGATCAAAGGAAATTCAAAAAATTGTGTTGGAATTTATAGACAAAGTAATTTGTTGTTTCTATCAATTCATGGCCACAATAAAGAATCAGTGAGCTAACTTTCATTAGGGCTTGCTACTGTGGAATTTGTACAGATTGAGGGCTGTGAATATCAGTTTGTGAGCAGGGAGAAATAGGAGGAACTAGCTTTAACTTCTCTAGGCAGTCATACCAAAGACCTAGGATCAAATCCCACATAAGGAGAGGGTGACAACCCATTGGGAAGAGGAAGGAGATGAATCAAGGAATCTTACCTAAGATCTCTATGCTTCACTCCCCAAATTGTTAGGCAACATCACACAAACATAATTTCAAATCATTAACTCAAATCTTATTATCAGGTTATGGCTGTTAGTCTTCTTGTTTCTACTAGGACTAAGACTCCAAAATACTAAACTTTGATTATTTGACTACCACCACTAAAGACCACAGAAGATTCTAAGCAATATAATTTGACCTAAAATACAACCCACAGACCTTATTGCAACAACACACACCCAGCCACTATGAAAACTTAAAAGACAACTTTAGTTTCTAGATTTAATAAACAATCAATCAACCTGACCAAGAAGTTAGCAACATAAAACAAATATCAAACCACACTAGATATGACCCAAACATAGTTAAGTGAGGTCTTAATCATGCTCCATGTGAACCAAATTCGCCCTCTATTTGTCAGCGTGCTCTACATCATTAGCCTTTCTCTAATGCGAGTAATAAGTATAAGGCATCATCTTCCATGCACCGTACAACAGATTCTATTTTAACCGTCGCTAAGGAAAATAGAGCCCGCGATAGCCTCCTTTTGTGGGAATACTACCTACGATACTCATTAGCCTTTTAATCCGGGCTTACAGAATCCAGAATGAACCACCCCTTCCAAATGGAAATCTTATTTTAAACTCAAACAATTCTAAGCAAACAAAATATTCTTAGAGCAAACATGTATCATTTAGCACTGCTTGTAAAGCATGGACTTTGTAACTTAATTAGCTAACGGCGGCACAGACATCCCCAACTAGATTTCTTTGATTCCACCATATATTGTATGGGAAGCCAAAATATTCAAAACCCAAAAACAAATAAAACCATGTTCAGGGTCGCAATGACACACTGCAGGCAAAGCTGATAAGTAATGTGATACACATATGATTACCTTTATAGATATGGGTATCATTATGGAACAAAGAAGCTCAAACCGTAAAGGGATGACCAATACTTCATACCAAGGACCTTCATTTGGATATTCCACATACCATTGCTACAAAAGAAAAATACAAAAGAAGTAGGTATCATTTGAAAAGACCACAATGCAGCACATAAAGGGCAAGAATAAATTTTATTACCGAGAAATTCAACGTAAGTTTATGCAACAATACGAAAATAGTAGCAACTATGGAGCATAGAATAAGACTGGTAACAATTATCAGGAAAAAGGTTGGGAACTCTATCAAAAGAAAGAAAAATTTGGAGAATGAGAAAAACAAAAGATTCACCAAAGTTTATAGCATATTAGAGTGTTTCAATTTTACAGAGAAAGTTTAATGCAATAATGGCCATTGTTCAACTAATGAGGAAATGTCCTGCTTGCCATTTAGAACATGACAAAACCTCCCGGACACGTGCAGTCCCCTCAACTTACATGCACTGAGGACTAGCGGAACAAATTCCATTGGATGGCCCTAAGGGTTTAAAACTGTGTACTCCCCTCAACTTATACGCACCAAGGACAAGCGGAACAAATTCCATTGGATGGCCCTAAGGGTTGAAAACTGTGTACTCCCCTCTCACGTTATTATATTCACATATTTCCTATATCTCCCATCATTGTAAAATATTATTTTTATCTATCAAGATGAATTAGGCAGCATGTATAATTCTCAATTCTAAACAGACCAGGCCAAGATCACTTCACCCAAGCCTTCGATGAAAATCAATTGCAAGTACTGGCCAGCGAGTCCCCTGAGCCTAGACAAAAATCTCAAGCACCAATGAGTGCCCGAGCTGATCATGCTAGCCAGCTAAATGGCCACACCTACTGGTTAGCCTCCTTGGCATGTAATCAAAAGATCTCAAAGTGCCACTCATAACTTCGCCAAAATTGCATTCACTACTTATTCTCTCAATTTTGTAAATTAGTCTTTCATCTCTTTTATTCATATCAATTAAAAACATTCTTCCTACCCAACACGGATAAGATCGCTCTGTTGTGACCTGGGCGCAATGGGTCCGAGTAGTGAGAAACAAAAACACTATACTGAATAAGATAAAGGGTAAGACTGCATATATCTGTCACTCCATATACCCCATAGTGATAGAAGTCTCGTGCAATGAGCTATCATTTAGCATTCTCCAGACACGTTTCTTATTTGCTCAACTCTATGTCATAAAGCATGGCAGATCTTGAACAACATCACTTCAACTTGACAAAAAACTCCACTATCACACGTGTTTTCATCCATTCCACTGTGAAATCATGGGCAAGATCCTCAATCTCCCATTCTTACGTGTACTCAATCCAAACAAAAGGCAGGTATTCCTTCATCTCTTGGCCATCAAATCTTAGTATGTCTTCTTTCCTACTTTTAAGTTACTTAGATTACAATTTGTATACTCTTAGATATTGCTATATTAAAACCTCCACACTCTAGGGTCTCTCTCTAAGATCCTCACCATAAATTGACACATGCTCAAGACATATATGAATCAACACATCACAAATGAAAACAAGAGAGCTGAAAAAATATGGTCATTTTATAAGCCACACAAAGCTCTCCAACTTGGAACAATGCTAAAAAGGGGAACATCCTCAAACTATTTGGTAACCAAGGCCCAAAAGGATGCTAAAAGTAGATTTCATCCCATAATCCTTTCACAATTCACATTTATCTTCAAAAATGTCTTGAATTCCTCTCCAACCAAATAAGTCAAACAGTGGTTAGAAAGACAGAACCCATATAGTACTACCTCTTCGACTTCCTCCAAAGCCCTTGAAGTCCATACTAAGCATAGATGGTGGTTTAACAGAAAGAACGGCTTCTCCTCAAAGCTGCTAGGAAGAGAGCAAAGTAGAGCAGTAGAGAAGACAGATTTTTTTTTTCATCAGGGCATAAGGACTTGACTGTAAAATACAATAATGATTCGACAACAAATCCATGTGCTCAACCTGTATTGATATGCCCAGTTCCACTTATAGGCTTTGATTACGCTCCTATTTGCATAGACCAATGATGCGAAATACAAACCCAAAAAAACCCACGCGAAATGATAAAAACTTTCTTTTATCAGGTTACAATGTCATCTCCAAGGAAAATGAACAGATATCAGTATCCACTCCCACCTCATGTGTGCAGTTCCAGTGTTAACGCAATCTTTAAGATGGGTAGACCCAATAGATACCATTATCATGCTCCCAAGTTTCTTTTAAGTAAGCATTAGCATTGAATTGGTATAAATATAATTCCCTCCCTGGTTGATTCATATGAAATTAAAATGGCCCCAAAACCTGAGGCAAAATGTAATGGAAGCGACAATGACGTCTTACTAGCATGGAGCCTAAGGTCATCTTCCTACAGGTGATCATATGGTTAATTCTTGTGAGAGCCATAACAATGGCCTATCTATACTATATTTTCATCCTCAATCACAATCATCTTCCAATTATTGAAGGATGAGCCACCAGTCACTGAACATAAGCAGTAACCAAACCCTTGCAAGAATGAATAAGCAAGACACAACTTAATTGAGTAAAAGCCTGACGGTGAAAGGAAATTCTTATAATTCAAAAGTTAAAACGTAGATGAGACCATTACAAATACAAAAAAAAACATAGATGTATTTTACCAAGCTCCTAGAAAGTTTGTCACATAGAAAAGACAAATTTGCAGACCGAGACAAACCTTTCTTGCTTCTGTATCTTTCCAGACATTCCCAGCTATGCCTAGAACAATAACCACAACTATCTGAAAAACAAATATTGCTCCCGTTAACTTGTCAATCATGGCATCCACAGCTGTAAGTTTTGGTTCAGGTATACCCCTACTCATACCCAGCTTCGTTTCATTGCCTGAAAACAAGACAGAGAGAAGATACAAGGCTCACCAATCATTGTAGCTGATCCCATTGCAAGCCTCCTAAAAGACTATAAAAATCGTTCTATCTGATCTCATAGCCAGATTACTAAATCAATAAGGGTAAGTTTGGTCAATAATATGGCAAGCCCCTGCCATTCCAATAATAATAGCACCAGGAACACTTGAGTTTTACAATTGTAAATCACGGATAAGGGTTCAAATGAACCAAACTGAGACAAGTATAGGCTGTTCAAGCTCCGATTATCTATTTTTAAAAGATTTTTGAGACAGGTTGAAGCTCGTGACGAGCCACCGAATAACTCGATCAAACTAGGCTCGTGTAATATATATTAAAATTTGGGCCGGGCTCGGCTCTCCTTGCCTCAATCTTATATATATTAAAGTCACCACCAAATTCCAATAATATATCCCACCAAACATTTCTTATGAAAATAGGCACCACAAAGTGCGTGGATTGTCCAGTATTGAACAGGACACAACAAGAACATGGGTATGGGAAAAATATATCCAACTTGCAAATTGCCATTTGCCGAGCATATATCCCCGTAAGTATTTTACAACAAACGAGAGCAGATCATACTCAGTCGTTAGGTTTTCATGGTTGTTTTCTTAGTGTAATTCAGTTCAATATAACTTTTTAGTGCTCACAACAGAAACAACAGGATACAAAGGGAGGGAGGGAAAAAATTAAAAGGCATTTCAAGGTAAATGAGTGATGATTTATGATATTGATTGACTAGTCGGCAATTAGAGACTTGCCTGTATAAACAGAAACACCACAAGCCCACTCTGTATTCCTCAAGTAGCATGATTGAAGAACTGTATTTTTGACAGTTAATGGGCAAACATCATTATCAAGAAATGGAGGAAACAACCTTATATTTGCATCAAACCTCCTGATGTCCTTATCTGGATTGGGACACTCAATTACACCCTGCCAAAGGAAGAATGAAAACAAATACTAACCATAAGCAAAATTTGAATACAATACTAAATCATCGGCCCATGAATAAGAACTATAAAAATCTTGCCTTGATCTTGTGCAATAATTCAAAATCCATTCCCATGCAAGCAGAGGGTATCAACCTTGTCTTAAGATCAGTTTCACCATCAAGAGCAGCTGTCTGCAAAGTATGTCATATCACTAAAAGTACTTAACACGAGAGTAAATAAAAGCATATTTAATGTATCTTGGAATCATATGCAAAGTATGACAGCGACGTAGTACTATATAAGCAAAGGTTTTGAAGGTGGAAAAATTAAGTTTCCATAAAATAATGAGATGGCACTTTATCATGGAGAATAACAAGCTCCATTTATCCAGCAGAATAACATGAAGTAACATACTTACCTCTACATAGCAAAGACCTTGCGGATCAGAGGTACCAATCAAGACAAGATCACAGGGCACTTCATCATTCTCACGAAGCCACACTATGTTACCAACAAGAATGTCTTGGGCTTGAATCTACAAGTGAATATCACCAAAGATGCAACATAATCAAATGCAAGTTAGCTTCAGAAGGTTTTTCGCAACAAAGAAATAAGTTAAACGAAATAAAAGATGGATGCTAATTTCAAAAAGCCACAGAAGGGGGAAAATGGTTGAGATGCATTTTCCATACATGTTTTTTGACACCCTGCCTTACAACCCATACTTCTTTCTCATTTCCTTTCTTGTCTGAAAGATATCTATGGTAATCATCCCATGCCTCTTTTGATGCTGAGACTGCAAATATTAAAATGAGTGGACCCCAAGTGGTTGCCGGATTAACTGGAGTAATAAGTGACCATAGTTGTAGGCAAGCAATCAACAAAAAGTACTGATTCATAAATCGGCTGGAAACAGAAGAGGAATATGTTAGAGAGAACATAAAAGAGAAGCACAAAGCGGCTTTCTCTTTACTGGAATAATAAGAGACTGGAGACACTCTTGAAATAGAGTAACAGTAAAAAATGTCATTCTACATTTATATTTCATACAGAATCAAATTTAAAAGATATCTCGAGTGTCCGTTAATCGACCAGGAGGGATAATTTTTGGCATGTTATGAAGGTAAATTTCTCCAGAAATATTCAGGATAGTCACTCCACCTTTGTCATATATTCCATGCATCACACTAGATAGATATCATATTCATGGAACATGGTCATAAGTAATCGCATGGGTTTAATTAACCATAGGTGGGCAATATGGGGAATGAACAAGGGCCAAAACCCTCTACACTCAAAATGTATTGCATTCCGAACATCCTTCACCCTATATCTTGGGACTCGGCTCCCAACAGACGGAATTATAGGTCTGGCTCCTCTTGTGTAAGCTGCATTTTAATATACCAGGAAACACACACATCTAACACAGCTGGAACAAAGATGGAAAAAAAGTAGGAACCCACAAATGGGTACACCCATGTAGTAGATCAATTGGACAAAAATTTGGGCTCTCACTCTTTTCTTTTGACTAAATGCAGAAGTCAAATCATAATAATTTATAAATTTGCAGTAAGAGTACATCAAATTCTACATGTTTACTCACCACAATCTTAAACAGCACTTCCAAAATATATTTACATATATATAGTGTGTTTGAATAATTAAAGATGTACCTGAACTGTTCCCATAAATTTTTGGGAAGAAAGTTCAGTAAGGTATATTTTCTGTTAGATATGCGGTTGTCACAGTAAAGCTCCTGTGATAGATCATCATCATTGATGTAAACATATCGCTTCATTGTTGACTTATATGTAAGCGATCATGTGTGACGTATTCCGTCCAAGTTTAATGTGGAGCTGAACAGCATTATCAGCCACAACAAAAGGAGTTCAGAGAGGCCTCATATCCTGCAATACATTACAAGAATAACAATGCTAGGTTTTGAGATTTAGAATTATATTTTTCAGCCATAAGTCAAAAGGCTTGCAAAAGCATAATCAACAGACATAACAAAGGACCCAATATTGCGATCCTTTTTTGTTAAGAAACAGCATATTATTAATAATGATTAACAAGTTGTTAATACAAATAGAAAAAGGTGGATCATCCTACTGGGAAAAAGCAAAAGAAAGAAACACATATGAAAACTTATGAAAAATGGCAACCTATAAACCATATGAAACTGTCCATCAAGCCAGAATGCAGAAAAGAGGGATGTTCATAATATTCCCACACTAACAACAATGTATTTATGTGTTTGCAAATGCTCAATAACACAGGTAGCACTGTAACAACTTTATCTATATATATTTAATAAGAAACAAAACATTATTAATCATAATAATAATAAGTACAACAATCAAAAAGAGTGGACAAGATGTCCAAGCTCAAACAACAAAAAACAAAAAATAAAGATAGCAGTCTCTATCCTCTGCTCTATCATTTGAAAGAAGACTATAAATCTCATAAGGCTCTCCCTCCGGCCAAAATTCCAAACAGTGAAATGCCCTCAAAATCTTTAGTAATTGACACCCAAAACAATGTCAAAAAGAAAATACCATAAACCTTCCACCTCCTCACACTTTTCCTCAAAAAATCCGAGCATTCCTTTCCAACCAAAACACCCACATCATTACAAGGACAGCACAATTCTATAGTGAAACTCCTTTACCATGTCCTCCAAACCCTTTCAAATCGTCCACAAATAAGGAAGAGAAAGATTCAGGACTAAACCAGCTCAACACAGTCAATGAAAACAACATATTCCACAAAGTTAAATCAATAGGGCAATGCAAAAACAAATGATTAACAGTTTCAGTGTCGGCACGGCACATTACACACCATTGCGGAGAGAGACAAATTTGAGGTCTCCTCCTTTTAAGTATATCATTAGTGTTAATCTTACCATGACCAATAGTCCATGCACAACCTTTCACCTTGAAGAAGAAGATGACCAAACAATCTAAAGAATTTTCTCATTACCATACAAAAGTATGATTACATCAAGTATTTATACACAGTGCTAAAACTGATCTAAGCTAATTACAATTAGTTATAACTATAGTTAAATGTAACTAACTTAGTAACACATGTGATCTATAACAGACTAGTGTAACAGTCTTGAGCAAGTGGCAGGATTCTGAAGTGTACTGCTGATATGCTTCAGAGTTGATGCAGCTGCATAAGGAACCTTAGTGTTGAGCTGAGCTGAGCTGGAGGAGCTGCAGAAGGAGCTACTGTGCTAATACCTCCCCGCAAACAAACGGGGGGATCACCAAACATGAGTTTGTCACGTAGAAGAAGAGAGGCCTTTAGTGAAGACATCAGCTAGTTGATCAGTGGTGATCACATATTGAACTTCTAGATCTTTCTTAAGCACTTTCTCTTGAATGAAATGATAGTCAATTTCTATGTGCTAGGTTCTAGAAAGGAACACAGGATTGGAAGCCAAAGCTAGAATAGAAACATTATCACACCAAAATGTAGGAGGCTGAGAAATAAAGCTGTGAAGATCTTTGAGAAGCATCCTGAACCATGCTAATTCTACAGCAATAGTAGCTAGGGACTTGTATTTAGACTCAATGCAAGACCTAGTGATCTACATCACCTAGCTATAGTTGTTTGTTTCTTGGCTCCCCAATGAATAGGATTGGAACCAAGGAAGATAATAAAACCAGAACTAGACCTCCTATCAGTGGGATCTCCAGCCCAGTCAGCATCAGTGAAGGTTGAAAGATGCAAAGAGCTGGGAGTATATGTAAGATCAAGAGAACTAATGCCTTTTAAGTACCTTACTCTTGACAGCAGAGAAATGACAGCCGTGAATTAACAAACTTGGTGGACAGCAAAGGCTATATCTGATCTTGTGAATGTAAGGTATTGGAGTGCCCCAACCAAACTCCTATAAAGAGTGGGATCTGGTAATGGAGTGCCCTCAGTCTTGCAGAGTCTGCTAGATGCTGGACAAGGAGTCTTGCAAGGTTTGCAGTCAGCCATATTTGCTCTTTGGAAAAGATCATGAACATATTTATGCTGAGAAAGAAAGAGACCCTAGGGTAGATATTAGATTTCGAGGCCAAAAAAGAAGTGTAAAGGTCCAAGATCTTTCATGTCAAATTCTTGATTAAGAGAAGAAATGTAAGAATTGTCATTCCCAGTAATAATAATGTCATCTACATAAAGAAGTAGATAGTAATAGACTGAGAACAAACACTGACAAACAAAGAACAATTAGCAGTTGAAGCCTGAAAGTTGAAGGTTTTGAGGTAGGATGTAAATCTTTCAAACCATACCCTAGGGGCTTGTTTAAGGTCATAGATAGACTTATGAAGTCTACAAACAGCAATAGGAGCAGTAGGATCAATGAACCAGGTGGTTGTGTCATATACACCTCTTCCTTAAGAAATCCAGAAAGCATTTTTGACATCCAGCTAATGAAGATTCCAACCAAAATGAACTGCAAAGAGCCAAAACAGTCTTCACAGTAGCCTGTCTAACAACAGGACTAAAGATTTCATTGTAATCAGTGACAGCCTCCTGATGAAACCTTTTAGCTACAAGTCTTGCTTTGTGCCTAGCAACTGTACCATCAGGATTATGTTTAAGTTTGAACACCCATTTACAACCAATAACATTCGGACCTAGGGAAGGATTAACAAGAAACCAAGTACCTTGTATTTGTAAGGCAAAAAATTCATCTACTATAGCATGTCTCCATTCAGAAGATTTAGAAGCAACAGTATAGGAAGTAGGCTCTAAAGAAATGAAAGTAGACAAGAAAACCTTTTTCTTTGAGATATTAGATTTAGATCTTGTACTCATAGGATGCACATTATCACAAGTTGTGACAGTAGTAGTTGGCAAGGGAATAGAGGCAGCAGGTGCAGAAGAAATGAGAGAGGTGGTAGGGGATGCTGAGGATAAGGAAGGCAAATTAGTGGGAGAAGTAAAATTCTGACACAGAAGAGGAACTATTAGAGAATCAGAATAAGATGTTGCAGAAGGAAGAGGTGTGCCAAGAACAGAAGAAGCATTACTTGAAGTAGCAGAAAAGGGTGGGTACCAGTAAACAATAGATGCTAGAGAGAATAGTGGATCAATGGAGGAATGAGCAAATGGAAAAGGATTTTCATAAAAAAGAACATGTCTGGAAATATAGAATTTGCTAGTTGAAAGATCAAAGTAGAGATATCCCTTGCAGTCATGAGGATATCCTAGAAAAATACACCGCTTAGTCTTGGGTTGTAGTTTGTGCTGATTATAAGGTTTTAAAAAGGGGTAATAGACACAACCAAACACTTTCAACTGAGAATACTCAGGTGGTGAACCAAAAAAGAGATTTATTGGAAGTAGTAGAGCTAGGGAGTCTATTAATGATATATGCAGCAGTAGCAAAGGCATGACACCAAAAAGAAGAGGGAACAGAAGCTCTAGACATAAGAGTCAGTGTTATTTCAGTAATGTGCCTATTTCTCTGAGCCAAACCATTTTGTTCTGGGGTGTAAGGACTAAGATTTCTGATGATGAATCCCAGAAGCAATAAGATATTGCTGAAAAGAATGACTGTTGTATTCACCTCCATCATCATCAGACTGAAGTATCTTCAAAGAGTGAGATGAGATTTTCAACATACATTTTAAACTTACAGAAAATAGAATGAACATCAGATTTATTAACCATAGGAAATATCCAGGTAAACTTAGTACATTCATCTATAAAGGAAACATAATATCGAAAACTATTAACAAGAAATATGATGTGCAGGACTCCATACATCAGAGTGTACTGTTTGCAAAGGATACAAAGAAATAGATTTTGAAAGTTGAAAAGGAAGCTTAGTCATTTTGCCATACAAACAGTGTTCACAAACACACAGAGATTTAGCTTGTTATGGCATGGCTAAATTGTAGGAAACAATTAAAGTACAAAAGTGAGACAAGAATCAAAAAGATGCTAAACTGGTAATTCTCTATGCAAAAATGAATGATACCTTATCGTATGTGTAAGTAATTAATGGAACGTCATAAATAAAAAGACGATATGTACCCACAGCTATGGCTTTCAAAACCATGGGAAAGATACAAACAGCAACAGCTCCAAGAGCCACTCATCAAAACAGGCGATAAACGTATCTCAGAAACGATACCAATAGCAAAATACCACCATACAAGAGCTACCCACTACCCCAAAATCCCCATTTTATTTGCTCGCATTGAATGAAATTCATTAATATGAATAGTTAAATCCACAAATGATGACAATATAGAAGCCTGCAAGTACTACAAGATCATGAAAAGATCGATTCCATGAGACCTAGGCTGCAAGACCGTGAATCTTTGTCGCAGAAGGTAGGAGAAGACTGAAGAGAGAGAGAAGACAGAGAATGGGGAAAGAGGCGTTAGAGTTTACCTGGTCACTAGTCAGCCACTCATCGAGAGAAAGCAAGAAGGCAATGGGGCCTTATGCTTGAATTAGGGTTGAGGAGATAGAGATATATATAAAGAAATGGTTTTAGCAGGGCAATGGCAGGGGCAGGTATAACCTTTAGTCTATCTCCGTATTCATCTTCACACGGGTTTATATATGTATCCCCATATACGTCCACCGTCCAATACGTATGGTCCATCCTCCGTCTAAACGGGGCATGTTTAGACGGATCTCCGTTTTTCCCCGGTCCACTTCTCTCGCTCTATCTTATCAAGCACTGTTTACATAGGTTATTACTTCCTCATTCCTCATTTCTCATTTCTCATAAACAACACTTTAGCTATGATCTCACACTAATAGGCCTAAGATCCC